CAAATATTTTTTTAAACGTTTTTGTTTAGTTTCTTATAGTTTTCCATTATTGTCGACGTGACGATGTCCGTGAGTGTTTTATGGATGTCCACGGATACATCCTAAAATTTCGGTCGCATTTCGCCCCTAGGAAAATCCCTATTTCCAACAATGAATGAAACATGTAATTTTTTAGCTGTATAACCGTAATCATGACGTCGGAAACTCTGTGCAATTTTAATTGAAACGATATACGATCTGTCCTTCGCAATAGCGCCCTTGCACCTACTTCTGCCTCTGTTTCGAGTCTATTTTCGTCCTCCCACCTCGAACAGGTAACGTTGTTGTTCTCTCCGGCTCTAATCTGGACTTGTTACATGACGTGCCGAGCGGCAGGAGTAGGCTTTGTGTGCCGTGTATAAATATAGCGCAATATGGCACATCATTCTGAAGTTCGGCTCATTTACGATTGTACGGCGGTATCGCGGCCGCCCGCGTGGGCGCCCGCGACTCATTCAGAATGCAGCTGGAAAGGATGGGCCAGACACGTAACAGACGTCGAGGGGCGGGGGGAGGCTTATCAATTCACTTAATATACAAAACGTCCCGTATCTAAATGTCCGCGCTGTGACAATAACGTCAGCGGGGTCTGGGAGAAATCGAGGAGTATCGAAGTTCGCAGGAGTGTTTAAATAATAATAACCACATACCACCATAATAACATACAAATTTCTTGTAGAATTAAACAAATAGACCAAGAAAATTAGCGAAGAAAAAAGAGAAACTCGAAAAAAGTCCTATCCGCTAGATTATTGTAAAATTGTCTAAAGGGACATAATACAAGACATCTCTCATCTCGTGAGTCAAAAACTTTTATTAGCTAACATTTATATTTAAACAAATAAGTGAGGAAAACAGTTTTTTCACTTTGCAGGGAAAACCATCAATTTTAGCGAAAAGAGACAGCTTGTAGGGAATAAAATTATCTACAAAATGACTTATTAAATTAAAATCGGTTAATAAACAAAAAAGTTATTGCAAAAAAACAAGAAACATTTTTTTATTTGTTTATAACTATCGCATTTATTGTTAAAATTTTATAAAACTTATGACAAGTTGAGGGTTTTGTCATACTTTAAAAGTGTGCCAAAAGTGGGCCCTATAGGTGCAATAGTTTTCGCACAATTCAATTTGTTTATAGCGGAGACTCCAAAAGTTATGAACTTTAAGCCTCTGTACAGGCCTTAATTTTCAACCAAACATGATTCTGAAAACGTCATTGTAATCTTAAAGACGCAATTAAGCGACCTATTAAAAAATATCACCATTTTTTTGACATTAACATTCTCAAATTCTGCATTAAAAAACCGTGCGTTATTCGCTTATAAACAATTTGAATAAAATTGTTTCTATTTATGCTACCTCACCGAGAATAGATTCAAAGTTCAAATTGATGCGCGCCGTAAAATTTTGCAATATCTCGGCTTTTATTCATCGTAGAAACTTCTTTTTTTTTAAACTGGGTAGCTCGACGAAAAAATAACAATGGGCATATTTACGAATTCGTAGAATAGCCCAGAACGCCAGAAAAAATGCATCTTTTATACTTAATTTTTTTTTTAATTTTTAAAAATGTCAAAAATTATTGTTAAACGAAATATTTATTAAAATTTCAATTTCGAAATTATTTTACTATGATTAAATAAATAAAGGAAGCTGTCGTTCATTTAAAAAGTTATTTTTTTACATATTAAGCCAAAGTGAACTTATTTTTTCTATATTTTGTTAGTCATTTGATTACGATTTAAATGTAAAACTAAAGTAAAAATTCACAAATTATTTTCAAATTATTATTTCTCATAAAAATAGAAAAAAGTATGACAAAACCCTCAACTTGTCATAGGTTTTATAAAATTTTAACAATAAATGCGATAGTTATAAACAAATTAAAAAATGGGCACTTTCCTTGTTTTTTGCAATACAAGTTGTCTGTGAGTCACTTTTCGCTAAACTTGATGGTTTTCCCTGCAAAGTAAAAAAACTGTTTTCCTCACTTAGTTATTTGTTTAAATAGAAAAGTTTTAACTATTAAAATTTTTTGACTCACTAGATGAGAGATCTCTTGTATTATGTTCCTTTAGACAATTTTACAATAATCTCGCGGATAGGAATTTTTTCGAGTAAAAATTTTATTTGCCTGGTGTAAAAATAAATATGTCCAAAAGTCCGCAAAGAAATTGTTTTTTTTGCAGAAATTTAATTTTCCAGTTATTAATTTAATTTCCACTAAATTAAAGAAAATATATTTTTTTAATAGTACGCCTTATATTTATATTAGTGCATATTTAGCTTCGTTAAATGTTTGTCTTTTCAAAAATATAACGAGCGTTCAAATAAAAACGTGGTCGAAGTTGGCTCTGACACATTGGACGTAGGGAGTAGCTTATAGCGACCAACTTAACCTAATTTCCCAACGAGCTGTATAGCAGCTGTCAGTTTCAATAACGTTAATGACTATATAACTTTATTTTAAAGAATAATCGTGATAACAATAACAAACAATTAAAGGAGCTGCGGAAAGTGTCCCCCTCCTTGTTATAACAATAAATTAAAGCAGCTGCTGAAAGTGTCCCCCTCCTTGTTCCAAGCACTTTTCACACCTGTTCCTCAAAGAATTAAAGACATTTTCTAAGATGCTCGTATTGTTAATTTCACGAATCTTGTCTATAAGTCGAGCCTGCAGATGGTTTAAATCAGGAATAGGCAGTTCAAAAATAGTGTTTTTAAGGTAAGGCCACAAAAAGAAATCACACGGCGTAATATCACATGACCTCGGTGGAAATTCATTCAGCATTGAGACTTATTAGTCGATTTTGGAAAACTTCCCTCAACATATTCATCGTCTCGCCTGCCGTATGTGCCCTTGCGCCATCTTGTTGAAAGTAAAAGTTTGTAGTTTAGTTTTCTTCCAGCTGGTTAACAAAAGGAGCGATAATTTCTTCTCTATACCTTTGCGCAGTAAGAGTACCATTAAAAAAAATAGGTCCATAAATCCTCCTTCGATTGAGAGCACACCAAACTCCAATTTTTTGAGCGTGTAGAGGGCCCTCGACAAAAAAGTTATCTGGTTTTTCAGAAGACCACATTCTCATATACTGTGAGTTTACGTAACCACTTAAATGAAACCAGGCTTCATCAGAAAAAAGGTGATATTATGAAGTTCACCGTAGTTGTTTAAAAACCATTCACAAAATACAGCCCGTCGCGGAAAATCAACTTCATGAAGTTCTTGCTGACAGGTTAAAAAATAGGAGAACAAACGCAAATCTTTTTTTAATACTGTGTGGCAGGTACCGACTGATACTCCCACCATTATTTGTGATAAAACACGTACAGAAGTTCTTGGCGCATTTTCCATTATTTGTAGGACATTCTCTTTTAATTCTTCAGTCCGCTTTTTATGTCGGCCGCTTCCTTCTTTTCTTGTTACACTGCGCGTTTCACGAAAAACATTAACACAACGCTGAACTGCACTTTGAAAAATTTTGTACTCAACAACGCCGGGAAATTGATTTTGAAATTCTATGAAACATTCCTCAATAGAATACTTCCATATTCCATCAATCTTGCGTCCATTTCTAAAGTAGGACTCTATGATAAACACTTTTTGTTCTTGAGAAAACACCATTTTAAACGCTTTTTAAAACGAAAATATTCAAATTGATAGCGGCGATATAGCGCTTTGACAGATGACGTTTAAGTTCATTTGCTATACGCTACGCCCTACGTCCAAATTTTCAGAACCAACTTGACCACGTTTTTATTTGAACGCTCGTTATAATATGTTACTGTTTGACTCAGGACTTTTCGACATAATTTCAGTTTAAAATTATTTTTGAAAAAACGGGATGGAAAATGTCTGACGACTCGCACACTGGCTATGAACGAGGCACGCGGAACAAATAAATGACTTTGACAGAAGTTTATTTATTATCATTCATTTATTTCCTATAACAACTATTTTAACAAAGAAATAATGTTTAGTGAGTACGAAAAATTTGGGTGCTTTGAAAAAAAAGTACATTTTTCTTTAATATAGTGATTTCCATTATTCAATTGTTTTTTTCTAATACTGTATTATAAATAATTAATTAATAAAAAAGCTAAAACTTTTGTATTACTTAAAAACTTTTTTGTAATTTCAATAATAAACTCGCACAATAAGTTGTCAAATTATAATGACTAACCCTGTACAAGTCTACACGTGACCGATGTGAAAACTATACTATAGTCGATAAAGTCGTGGTCAGTAGGAACAACTTGGCAGTCAGCCCTATGCTGTCAAAACATTGAAATTGATTTAAATTTTGAAGTGTTCTCAATAAAAATTGAATTTTCAACTTTATTGCTGTGCAAAACCTTGAAATTAAAATTGATTGACATATATTTCGAGTTTACTTCTGGCATCGTCGCATATATGGTATGTCTAACCCTAGAATTATTTTTCAAATTTATTAAATGAAATAAGTATCTAGTAGGTATTTAGTTGTATTTGCTATATTTTCTTAATTCAAAAAGGGTAGACAAAAGTTATCAAACAAACTCGTAAAAAGTGTTACAGAATTTTTTGTAAGTATTCGTCGCGGTAAAATACTACATATATTTTACAGCAGTTCCAAAACAGTTTTAAACACATTTTTAATTAGTTTTTTTCTCTATTACCTTAAACTTCCGATACAAGTTTGTAACATCAGTTAACTCAGTTTTTGCTCCTTTTTCACCCTTTCAAATTTTTGACATAAGTTCATTAACGCCCTGTATATTCATCCTGCGGACGCGGCATTTTGTCTACATTCACCATATATCTAGCGTATGTATCAATTACTGCAATTATGAATAATTCAAAGAAACATTTATTGAAAGAAATGTTGGTATACTGTCGGAACAAGAAACAACCAACAAAACATTCGGACTTAATATCCTTATTGATTATTTACAACTAACTCTGTCTTTTGTTTCAGTCGCTTCGGGAAGTTCATCCAGGTGAACTACAAAGAGAACTGCATGGTTCACGGCGCCGTCGTCCAGAAGTATCTCCTGGAGAAGTCCAGGATATGCTCCCAAGGCAGGTACGAGCGCAACTACCACGTGTTCTACTACCTCCTGGAAGGAGCCAACGAACAAGAGAAGCAACTGCTCCACCTCAAATCCCCGGACCAGTACTACTACCTGAACAAGTCCTGCTACACTTTAGAGAACATAGACGAGAGCTACGAGTTCTCAAGACTGAAACAGTCCATGGAGATGGTGGGGTTCACCGCCGAAAAACAAAGGAGGCTCTTCTCCGTACTGTCGGCGGTGCTTCTGCTGGGCAACGTGGAATTCCACCCGAGGAAATCAGCCTACCACCACGACGAATCCGTGGGGGTAAAGAACCCCGAGGTGGTCTCGCTGATTTCCGAATTGCTGAGGGTCAAGCAGGAGACTCTGATGCAAGCCCTCACCGCCAAGAGGGCGAGGGCTTCGGGGGAGACCCTGGTGATCAACTACCGTCTGCCGGAGGCCATCGCCAGCAGGGACGCCATGGCGAAGTGCCTGTACGGCGCCCTCTTCGACTGGATCGTGCTCCAGGTCAACCACGCGCTTCTCTCGAAGAAGGACACCCTGAGGGAGCACCAGGGCAACTCCATAGGCGTGCTGGACATCTTCGGGTTCGAGGATTTCGGCCTGAATAACAGCTTCGAGCAGTTGTGCATCAACTACGCCAACGAGCACCTGCAGTACTATTTCAACCAGCACGTCTTCAAGTACGAGCAGGAGGAGTACCGGAAGGAGGGGATCAGGTGGACGAACATCGAGTTCATGGATAATACGGGGTGTTTGCAGTTGATCGAGGGCAAGCCCAACGGGTTGATCTTTATTTTGGACGACCAATGCAAGTAAGTGCAATTTTTTTTATAGCTTTCGTTATTGGATTTAACATCTACTTGTAAATTGTTTGGTATTGGAAAGGTTTTTCAAAAATCTGTGGTCTAATTGTTGGAAGCATTCTTAATTTAAAAAAAAAAGCATTTAGGTCGTTCAGAAGACTGCACCAATAGTTAGTTGATAGTTGTCTTTTTTTATTTCGTTATTTTTTAATTTTGAGTTTTATGTGGGCTAACCGCTAACGTGTGGTATGACGTCACAACATGGCTTCCGTGTGTTTTCCCGCCCTCCGCTTTCATTAATTATTTTGAAGAAGTTGTTGAAAAAAAAATGCAGATTTTTAGCACATTGTGTACTTTCTGAATATGAATTTAAATAAAAAATATGTTAAATGAACCCATTTGCTGTAAATTTGCCGGGAACAAATGGTTGCCGCAGTTGTATTAATAAAATACCACTTAAAAATAATCTTTTTGGAATTCTGATTGTCAGTATTTGCCGCAAGTTTTTGGGAAACAATCGGTGGAAACCGTGCAAATTTGAAGATTTTTTGATGGTAAATAGAATACCTCGATAATAACTATAAATAATAAATACTATTGAGAATGCAAAACGGTGTTTAAAGTTAATAAAAAAAAATTGTTAAAACTTATTGGGAACCTCTGGAGTTGTCCTCAGCTTACACACTACATAAAATGAGGTGAATAGTTGAGGCCATAGATAGCGCACCGTTCGCTTTTTTCTCTTGTTTTTTGAAAAAAATACCATGTGTTTATGAAAATAATAACCTGCTATTATACTTATTAATTTTTGAACGTACTTACTTAATTCTTACTTCATTAATAATAATTTTGAAGGGCACACTAGTGTCTCTCTGTGACTTTTTATGACACAACATTTTTTATATTAGGTTTTTTATAGCGTGTGTCTTGTAAAACAATGTAAAATTTTATTTTATACAGAGATCCTCTTGTTAAAACGCACTGTGTCTTTAAGATTAACTAAAGCATTTTTTGAAAGCCCCTAACTTTTTAAGGGGACAAAATTGTAGTAAGGCAACTTGATATAATCGGATTATTTTCATACGAAGTATCGCCCATTCGTTTCCAGGCACCCTGTAGATAAATATTGGCGCTTATTCCCTTAAGTGAAGGTCTGTAGTTATCGTTAACGTTTCGAAAAATCAGGCATAATCAAAATTTGTAATGACGTTTCTGTTTTAATTAGGTTTGATAGTTTAAAATTTGAGGGTTAGTCGTTGACGAGTGGGTATGATGTCACAATACGGTTTATGTGCGTTTTTGCAGGCTCCGTCTTCACTAATTATTTTGAGTAACAAGTTTCTGAAATAAAAAATTTGATTTTTTACAAACTGACTGTGATATATATTTTCTGAATGTGAATTTAAAAAATATATGCTAAATGAGCCCATTGAGATTTTCAAAAAAATGATGCGTTTTCGCCGATTGTAACGAGAGTGCTTTTTTTGCATGCATTATAACAATACAAACAGTGTAAAAAACCTCAAGCCTCAAATAGTTATGTCATAAAATGCCACTGCGAGAGATACTAGCTAGTACCTCTAAAACACGTGGTCAAAAACTAACAACACTCGCATTTAGCACCCTTAAAGATGTACTTGTCCCAAATTTTAATGGCATGCATTGGGTTAAAATTTGCTAAAATTTGATTAAAAAAAAAAAATTAACGATAGACTCGTGATCCACAGGAAAATATCATATGATCATCCTATAAATTTTCTGCACTCGTTTCTACAACACCCTATATAATATATCTATAAATATTTACGTATCAATTTCAGTTTTAAACAGGAAGCCACTTGAAAAATCAATTATTAAAATGCAGATATATGAAAGTTCACTTACAATTAGCGTGGATCATTTCGCGAATTTATCTTTGTTAAACAGGTGATGTTTCAATAATGGTATGTTTTTTCATTAATAATATTGGGATAAATTATTTTTATTATTTTTATTATTTTTTTTAGATACTTATTCACAAATTTGAGAGACAACACGTTTGCTAGATATAATTTAACGCCTGGACAGGACTTTAGTCCGCGGAGTAGTTTTTTCTTATACTCCAGTCGAATTAGATCATAAAACCTGAAAATTATTAATAGACATTTCATTGCACTTTATGATGGTGAAGGGTGGTATGTATCATGAAATTATCTACAGTTTAAGGTACGGAAATATCAACTTTCGAAAATTGCTCATTATTATTGCAAAAAGCTATATTGGGAACAAAGAGGCGTAGATGATTTCTGTTTTTTTTTTTTAAATTATCGTAAAAATAATCTGCATGTTATGCAAAAAGAGCGAATTCCCGAGCGGCTTTTGCCTGACCCTGGGACAATTTGTTTATAACGCTGTTTTGTTGTACAGGGCTACTTAATTTCAACTTTTTGAACTTTTTCCTTTTCGATACGTTTCTTTGAATCAATTAAAATCTACGATATTAACTTCTAAAATTAACGTTTAGTAACACAAAATGAAATTGAGACTTTCCTTCTAACAAACCAGTTGACCTTCATATTTTTAAGGTTGCTAATCACGATCCCGGTATTCGTATAACCCCAGCACGTCTGGATCAAGGTTAAATGAAGGTCAAATTTCGTTTTTCGAATGATGTAACTTTTTTGATCCTGAAATCCTGAAACAGCGAGAAATTTTACATCCAAATACGTATTGACCTGTTGGTGAAAGTGACATCTGGAGATTATCTGGTGGTCATTTAAAGGTCGAATATGAGATTTGAATGTACCGGCTGAAACTTCCGCTTCGATACGAGACATCCGATCCCGGAATCCGAAACAACGAGACATTTTACATCCAAATACGTGTTATCTGTTAGTAAAAGTGACCCCTGGAGGTCTCTTGAAGGTCAGACCCAATTTTTTAATCTCCCGAATGAAATTTGGGCTATGAAATGAGACGTCAGATGTATAACCTTTATGGAAATTGTGGAGAATCATGGCAACCATAAACTGATAAATTTTCATTTGACCATGAGAGTCTTTTCCATGATCAATCGAAGATCAAGATCTGTTATTCATAGATTCGTGATCAGCGTCTCAAAAAACGTAAAAGTTAACTGGTCCGAGATCCGACAGCGACGTCTCATTTCGTAGCGGAAATTCCAGCCGGTAAGTTCAAATCTCAGATTCGACCTTTAAATGACCTCTAAATGACCCCAGAGATCACTTTCACCGACGAGTCAACATGTATTTGGACGTAAAATTTCCAGTTATTTCGAAATCCGGGGTCAAAAAAATTATATCATTCAAAAATTGAAATTTGACCTTCATTTGACCTTGATCCAAATTTGCTGGGGTTACACGGATACCGGGATCGTAATCAGCGACTTCAAAAACATAAGAGTCAACTGGTCTAAGAGAAGGTATGTCTCAATTTCATTTTGTGGTCCTGTGAATTAACAATTAGTTGCAAATAAACGAATATAATTAAGTAAAAAATATCTGGAGCAACAAATTTCATCAACATCCATCGCTTTTTGCTAAATAATGTTCAATATGTCATGTTTAATACTGATATTTCCGCGTTCCACCTTTATTTGTGAAATATGACTTTCGATACCTTAAATTGTGGGCAATTTAATTGCCTAAAATGATTAATTTTCACTGTGAAAAATGAAAGGAATTCTGTATTTCAACATTTTTATAGTTTAGCTGGATTTTCTTCCATCATTGTCCTACTAAAAGTGCGATTTCTTGTCTATAAAACGCCGACCTTACATCATGTTCCAAGCCTCATTGACCATCCGATTAAATTAATTTTTGGGCAAATCCTCACCGAAGCTCGCGTCTTGAAAAGACACCTTTAGTCACACCTTGTATACCTACCATCAGAAATGTGGTGCTCGAATACACAACTCCGTTCGAATTTATAAATATGACATCATCGATAACAATAATTTATCATCTCTGTTTATAAATAAATAATCGACAGATAACGGCAAACTATCTCACGAAAAATGCAGCGATGTGGAGCGGCATTGCAGAGATTGCATTGTTCACAATTGCAAATATCGTTATGTTGTGCCTAATACGGATTTTTTTGTTTATTCATTAACTGCCAAGGTGTGCCCGTTTTAAATGCGTGTTCTACCTTACTGAAGATGTGGAATTCGATAAACAAAACTCACTAAATACCAAAGAAATGAAAGGTTTTGATTTTAGAGGTAATGCAATGTCGTTTAAATGAAAGAAATAAACAACAGCATTCGAAAATAATAGCACACACTATAAAAGATTATTCTGTCAATCTTTCCCTATTTTTAGCATTGCGTCATCTTATATAAACACGTCTATCAGTGTATAATTCAGTGAAAAGTTCACTGGATGTCGGGCGTCCTTGGCGAATTCCTTGGAGTCGTATTTACGTTTACTTTTTTTATTATCTAAGTAAGTGATACGAATTATTTAAAGATAAGCTATCTGTAGTCAAGTGTTAATCTAGTTGTAAATCTAGTCAGCGGAACAATTTAAATGCCGCTAAAAAAAGGTAGGCGGGATATTCCGATGGTGCCTCGAGCGAGATCATAATTTTTTTTGTGACTAGAATTTGTAAAATATTCTTTAGCAGAATAACATAACCGAAGAGAAGTTCGTTTGTTTTAACTGATCGTTATTATGCCATGTCATTCATCAAAAGAATTACTTGAAATAAGGCATAAGTTTAAGTTTCAGATTAGATCTAACTCTACTGTACTGTGGTGGATTCTAGTTTAAATAACGGCAACTATTTCTAAGATAAAAATAAAACAAAATTATGCAATAATCTTTTTAATTTCATAATAAAGAAAACCTGAACTATTGGAAAAATTCATTTCTTCATGTTAAATACTGTCATAAAAGTTTAAAATTGCGTTATTTAAATTGTTATACAGGGTGGTCCGAATTTTATGCAAGAAACATCGAGGACAGATAGATCTCTTTAAAATAATAGGAGTTTGCCTTATAAACATAGGTCTGGAACGGCCTCGTTTTAGAGATACAGGGTGTTGAAGTTGTTAAAAAAATATTATTTTTTGTTTTATATCAGGAATCTATTAACCGACCTCAATAAAATTTGGTACTAATAATGTACGATAGTAGGTCTTGTATTCCCTAAAATATGAGCTCTAAAGGTTTAGCCAGTGGTGTACAACTGAACAGGGGTCACCCCCTTTTTATAGAAAAACCTACGCCACTGTATTTTTTACGAGTTATTGTAATGGATTTATATTCTAATGCAGTAAATACGTAAAAAAGGTGACTTGAATTTTTTCCCTAAGGTTCACCATTTTCAAGTTATTGATACAAATACAATCTCCCCTTGTGGCAGACACTTCAGATCATAATATTACAAAAATTTTTATGTTTATGCTTAAAAGTAAGTGCAATTTATAAGCACATCAACAAAATTCTTTCCACATCACTTGTGAGGTAGTGTTCCTGGTGTTTTAGTTTTCCCTGGAGGTATTACCTTTACAAATAAGAACAATTTAAATAAAAATAATAATAAAAATACATTTACCAAGCAACAACAACTAAACAAGAAACAAAATTAACGTTACGTATTTACAGCAATTGTTTAAAATGCGAACCACCCATATCGATACATTTCTGACATCTTCTATTAATGCAACTAATTCAAGCTAATATCATATGGTGGTTTTCTATTCGCTGCAGTAGTTGTGGTCTAGTATCTATTGGAGTAGAGTAAACTTTTCAAGTAGGTCACCCCAAACATAGAGGTCCAGGTAGTTTAGATCTGGCGATCTGGCTGGCCAAAACACTGGACCCTCTGCACCATTATGGTTGACATTGGCATTTGGTCTCCTACCTATCCATCATCTCATATAATTTTCATTAAGCCATTCTTGTATTATTCTCCTAAAATGCGCAGGAGCACCATCCATTTGTATCCAGCTATTTTGTCGTATATTTAATGGAACATCCTCTAATAATTCAAATAGATGGTTTTCTAGAAAGTTTAGAAATGACATCGAATTTCATGAGGATTTTCTTGTGAAATATCCAGATTGTGAAAATTCACTACCCCTCACCTTGTGAACGTAGCCTCATCGGTCCAAAGTATTTCTAGTAAGAATTCAAACAACCACTGATAAAAATTCAGGCGTCTCTCTGCATCTCCCGGAAGTAAATTTTGCACAGGTTGTAAATGGTACGGATTTCTGTCATCCTTACATAGAATTTTTCAAATTTTCGATTTACTCACCCCAAGTTGCCGAGACGTTCTTCGTGTACCTACTTAGCCGAGGATCGTCGTTAAATGCTTTCAAAATTTAATTTTTGTGCATTTCATTACTTTGTCGTGATTTTCCAAATATTATTTTAATCCAAAAAGATGAAAGCGACGAGTGTAAAGAATTTTGTTGATGTGCTTACAAATTGCACTTACTTTTAAGCATAAACATAAATATTCTTGTAATATTATGGTTAGTAGTGTCGCCACAAGGGGATTGTATTAGTATTAATAACTTGAGAACGGTGAACTTTAGGGAAAAAATTCAAGTTACCTTTTTTACGTATTATGTGCATTAGAATATAAATTCGTTACAATAGCTTGTAAAAAATACAGTGGCGTAGGTTTTTTTTTATAAAAAAGGGGGTGACCCTGTCCAGTTGTACATTACTGGTTGAACCTCTAAAGCTCGTATTTTAGGGAATGCAAGGCCTACTGTCATACATTATCTGTACCAAATTTTATTGAGATCGGCTAATAGATTCCTGAGATATAAACAAAAAATAATTTTTTATTAACAACTTCAACACCCTGTATCTCTAAAACGAGGCCGTTCCAGACCTATGTTTATGAGGCAAGCACCCATTATTTTAAAAAGATCTATCTGCCCTCGAAGTTTCCTGCATAAAATTCGGACCACCCTGTATAATAAATAAATTTACGACATAGATCCTTACCTAATTATTAAAAAATATATAGTTCTTAAACAATTGGTTACTGCAAAATATTGTTTAGTCAGCAATATGTCAAGATAAATAATCTTCTCATCCGCATGTACATAATAAAACTCAACAATTCATCCGTTTTCATAGTAAAGACAAACATATACCTACGCATTAAGAATTAATTAAAAAACTAAGCATTGACTTTTATGTCGAATTAGATCATGAAAACTTGAAAAAATTAGCAGTAGACAATAGACATTTTATTGCCCTTTATGACGGGGAAGGATATGTAGAATGATAATATCAAAAAAGTAACGAGAGATTTGAACAGAATTTCAAACGTTCAAGTCAAAAATCTCGTGCGCCACGAGAGCAACGTTCACACGCAAGCGCGGGCCGGGCGCTCGTTCTCCCGCTTGCAGGCCGTTCATTAACGTTAATTTTTACTGTTGCTAGCTCGTTCATTTCGTGAACTATCAATGTAAAACTTTTTGGAAATGAAAGTTTAGCCCTTTCTTTAATTGTCTAAAATCCCGGTTCGATACGTCCATCTTGCGAACAAAGAGGCGTAGGTGATTTCTCTTTTTTTTTTAATTACCGTAAAAATAAGATTTATTTAATGCAAAAAGAGTGGATTCCCGACCGGCTTTTGCATGATCCTGGGACAATTTCACGGTCAATCGAAGTGGCTTTTGGCACACATGTTGGTTTTTATATTGATCGTCTTTCCCATCATCAACATCCATCGTTTTTTGCATTAATAATGCGCAATTTTCGGACACTGATTTTTCCGTGTTCAACCTTTATTTTACAGTTAACAAATTGGTAAAATATGACTTTAGGTACCTTAAATTGTAGGTAATTTAATTGCCTACCACATAAAATTACTAATTTTCCGATAGGTCGTCTAGATTTTCGTGACCAGTACAAAAAGTGAAAAAACATGCCACTTATTTGCAATTTGCCAAACTTAGCGTCACTTCTATCGAGTTACTTTTTTGATATTATCATTCTACTCACCCTTCCCCGTCCTAAAGTGCAATACTGGTCTACTAAAATTTCAAAATTTTTTTGACATTCATATTTATTTAACTTTTTTCTTCCCAATTCAAATAAAAAGCCAGAATTTAAGAGTTAGTTCCTGTATCATTTTTGAGATAGTTCTTTGCTTGAAATTTTATTTTAAGAATATTATTCCTAGGCGCAAGAATCTGAAACAAAAAAGCGCACTGAAAAGCTGTGTAAACATGTGTTGTCATGTCTTACGTAAGATATGTAACGGATGAAGAGAAAAAATCATACCCGGTGCGAAATATAGCACGAAGTAGCGGTGGATTCCGAGAAAATTGGCAACTAATTACACTCAGCTTATATAAAAACAAGATATTAATGTTTAATAATTGTTGTAATTATAAATGTTTCTGTAACAGCAGTACCAGAGCTATGGTTAAACTGATTGTTTAATTGACCGAAAGGATAGCATGCAGTCTAAAAACAACCTGAAGAATAAATTAAACAACAGCAAACTGTTTATAACTGTCTTTTATCGCAATAAAATTAGAAGAATCCGCTGCCAATGTTTCAACATTGAAATAAACAAACAAAAGACGGCGTCGATCAGCAGATACTCTTATAATATTTTACTTTTCAAACCATAGATGGCACTATATATTACAACAATACTTTGCGCCATCTATTGCTTGCCACGGGAAACGCAATATTATCTATTGTTTAGCACCTCGTTTGTCGTTTTAATTTTGTATTTCTCAGCTTTTTACATTAAAATCGTCTATGACTTTGGTTTTGTATTACTGGCTTGCGAGGGCTTTGACAGAAAACTCAGAAAAAATCTATTTGCATACAATAGTCAGTATATTTAAATCGTGTTAGGTATGATTTACATATGTACGAATATATCCATAATTTCATACAAACAAGTGGGGTTTAAAAATAAAAGTACAAATACGTTTATAATCTCTTACTCTTACATAATAATTTTTTAAATTTTACACCGACAAGCTTTATATACTGGATGCAAATAAGGAAAGTTATAGAAGTAAATATAGTTCCAATGATTTTTTATAAGAGCATTGTCAAAAAATTTATTCATCACTTCTACTTCTAAGAAAATGAAAGCAGTCAAACTGCAACATTTTGTTATGTGTTAACTTGCGAAATAGATTAAATATGTTGTCCCTGTCTGTTGTTATCTGATTTAGAAAAGGTAGAAGACAGTAGCGCTACTAATATGTAATAGTAATGATACATAATTCGTAATATCCTCTGTTAGCATTCCAGATTATTGCGGTGACCACTTAAATTCTTGTTAGGTTTTCAAATAAACATAAGCTGTATTAGTCATCATAATATCTGGTAATTTAGCTAATATATTTCAGTTATACAGAGGGAGGTACAAAAAACTGGTTCATATTTTAGAAAATGCACACAAAATGTTTAAAAAATTATATTTATATTTTTCCCAAATAGTGAACTTATATTTCAAGTGTATTTAGATCTGTAATACTGTAGGGTTATCGAAAATAACTAATTCTCTAAATGAAAAACAATATCTTACTAAAGAAACAAACAATAAAACTAAATTAACAAAAAATAAAACGGAAGATACCAAAGACATAAATGAAAAATTGTTTTGCAAATTCTTTATTAAAAATTCGTGCTTGACCTAACCAATCCTAACCTAACTTAACCACACCTAACTTAATCTAACCTAAGGGAACGTAATATCACGAGCAACTACAATGAAAATTTATTGATAACGAACAATCTTACTCAAGCACAAAAGAATAAAACCTCCGATGAGTAATGATCATTTCCAAAACTACAATTTTAATGTGACATTTACAAAACAACAACAAATAAACCATCATCACCTAAAAGTATTTATGAATGTTGAAAGTTTAAAGTAAAGTCAAAAAAAAGTTCATTAGAGGTCTGCTAACGATTGTCCTAAGGTGTGGTAGAACCTATTTTTGATTCCCGTGTTCTTACAGTTTTCCCGGGGCCACCAACGAAACCCTCCTCCAGAAGTTCAACAGCGTCCACAAGGACAACAAGTTCTACCAGAAACCCCAAAAGAAGGAAGCCGCCTTCATAGTGGTCCACTATGCCGGCAAGGTGAAGTACCAAGTGACGGACATGCGCGAGAAGAACCTCGACCTGATGCGCCAGGACATAGTAGGAGTGCTGAAGAACAGCTCGATGGCCTTCGTGAGAGAACTGGTAGGCGCCGACCCCGTTGCAGTGTTTCGCTGGGCCATCGTCAGGGCCTTCTTCAGGTCGTACTTCGCCTTCAGGGAAGCGGGGAGGAAACACAGGCAGGGGAGGGTGGACGGTAACAAGAACAACATCCAGCAGAGGTATTCGAGGAACCACATACCCAACGAGAATTTAATAAGGTAAGCTTAATGCTCAGTTATGCTTTAGATGTGTTTATTTTTTATTTAAAATAGGTAAAATATCTGTGGGGACTAAAAATTTAATTTCTTAGACAATTCCACTCCTGATTTGGGAAATCCCGCTTCTGATCAGTTTTAATCATGTATCTCAAACTATTTTCGGATTTAAAATGAAGTTTCTGTAACAAATAAATTAAATATGATATTGCCAAATCTTGTGTTTAAAAAATAATCAGAACATTAAATTTCTCAATGTACAGTAGCAGAAAAGGGGTAAAGTTAATAAATGAGATATGATACCTATCTAAGTAACTGCTATTATTATATTAAATCCATTATTAAAGTTTAAATTCCATTTTCTTTCACGTTTGAGAAATTTCAATTAATCTTACATAAAGATACTCGATTTTACTTCGTATAAGCCATTTGCCATATGTTCATTATTCCTTATTTGTTCTTGCTGTTCTAAATTGACGGACAAGCATTAATTGAAATGTAGAATTAGTCATAGCGTATGATTATGTGTTTTCATTTCGTCTTAACTCATTGAAATCTACCATAAATATCTATTTACAGGATGTTGTGAAATACAGTAAATGCGCGACTTTGGGAATCATCCAATAATGAAACATAAATCATTGATTTTAAGATAAAAAAAAATTGATACCACGCGCGGTATATTTCCTTCCAATAAATTATGCTTTGCATTATATGGGTTGGCTGTGAAACAAATGACTACACTTCAAAGGACTGTCAAATAGTTTTGTTTTAATGTTATTCACATGTTTCAGAGCCAACTGATTTATGCCGAGCAATTTGTATTGTATATTTCCACAGATATTTTATTATTTTTCCAATGTTGTGTAGTCCGCAGCGATTTCTAAAAACTGACTAACCAAACGTTATATTGAGTATAAGTAGTACGAAAGTGTATGTTGATACATTTATCTGTAATTCTGTAGCCATCTCGTGACGGTTTCTGCTGTGAACCTCGCGATTAACAGAATTGCGTAAGTCTCATCGGTTGACGTTTTGCCCCATAGTCTCATGCCCATCTGTGACCCCCCCCTCTTCTGGCAGATACGACAGCTGCCCTCCCAGGGTCGTTTCGGAAGTGCCAAAATTCATTTTTTTTAAATTTATATTGTCTATAGCTTTACTTCTGAAACGCCCCGTGTGTTGCTTGGTATGGAGATAGTGGGTAGTGAGCTATATTTAACGTACACTAGTTTTCTGTTATTAGATGTCAGTGTGCTTACGCATAGAGATAACTTTACGCTTGATATTAATAAATATCTGGCTGCCAGGAAAAACAAATCATTTTAATTTGATAGCAAAATTTCCTGAAAAAGTTTTCTTAAGTCGGTCTTTTATTAGTCTCCAATGTTTTCGATTTTTTAGCTCATTATCTACCATTCTGTATCTGATACTGTTAAATATACTGCTCTGCAAAAAAAATTGCTATTCGGGATCGTGGAAATAAAAGAAAGATCGTAGTTTAGCCCGAAAATATCGACAGCAGAATTTTTTTGTAGAGCAGTGACTTATTATATTTTCAACAAATGTTCTGTTAGAATCGTACTTTATTTGCTGTCCCTTACTCCATCATATCTCATCGTTTATGAGCATGGAATTTTTGTGCTGTTCCTTTGCATGTTGTAAACTTTGATCTTTTTAAAAACTAACAGCATAACATGATCGAATATATAAAATCAGGGGAAATTGTGAATCCGTTTACTTTATAATTACTATATGGAGCGGTTTTTAGTCGTGTTCTAATAATAAATGGGACGCTTTAGATTGTTTGAGGCAAATAGTGCCTTTGAAATAATGTCCTAGATGACTTGGTTTTCGGGATATGGAATGTTAAAGTTTTTGAGAAATATCACATTTAATGTGGATTAATGAGACTTAGGTAGTTGGTGGCGTAACTAATGTGAATTGAAAAAATTACGTTGTGAATTGAAAACTTGTCTTTAATACAAAATCCCACTTCTGATTTGAAAAATCCCCCTTCTGATTTGAAAATACCCCTTCTCATTTTGGGTCTCAAGCTATTTTTAATTGTATATACATAATTTCTTCATCCATTGTTTAGAAATACTGGGCGATGCCATTATAAATTAATGCTAATAGTCACAATTTATTTATATTTGTACAAAATCTTTAACATCCTATTGTCGAAGATTAAGCCATTTAAGACAGATTTTAAGGAACCTTTTACCTCAAACTGATCTAAATAATCACCCCCTTCATTATTAGAACGTACTTAAGGATCGTACCTTCACAAAGGGATGATTTTGTTTGTAAGCGTTAACTTCGGGTGTTTTTTTTTTCCTTTCCGTTATTACTTTTTAATTTGTGACGCAGCAAGCAACGAAACGCCGCGTTTAACAGAACGGGCAGAAACAACGACAACGAACCACCTAGCAATAACAGCAATCACAACAGGCTGTCGTGGCCTCAGTTCTACCAACGGAACCGGACAGGCGGCGGCAGTAGCAAAAACATCGAAGAGGACCGCAGGAGGAAGGACTCGACGGGCGGCAGTCCGGGCAATCCGGCCGCCCTCGAGAGGTTGGCCCCCGACGAGGCCAGGGCCATACAGAGGGCGAATCAGATCGTAATGTATGTTGGCTTGACTTTTTTGGCGGGTCGGGATTCTGTAGTTTCGGGGTGTGGTGGAGGTCTAGTTCTGAGCTGGTCTTTGAAAATCGGGCTGCGAATAATTTAGGAAACGGAACGAATGTCAAATTGAAAAAATTTTTTCTGGAGTTGTAGATTTTGCCTTGCTTGATGATTTGAATAACTTTGTTTGGTAGTTTTTCTAATTTTTGTGTTTTAAATTTTACTGTAGATTTGTTTAACTTCAACTAACAGAGATTCGATTCGAAATACAGGGTGTAAGAAGTTTGACTGCCTTTACTTCAGCATGCGATAGAGTAATCATAAATGAACAAAAAAGTTGCATATTACAGGGGCGTAAGATTAACAGTTTTCAAAATACAGCGAGTATTAATATTGGGGAGTTTCATCACAACCTGGCAACAGCGCTTAACCTTCTGATGCACCCACATGTCCACGCGGTAAACTTGTCCTACGGAAAAAATGTAAACAGCTATTATTGTGAAACATTTAGTAAATTTCAAGGCAATTATTGTTTTCCAGTTTTTAAATAAATAAAATAAAATGTATCGATTTTGTAGTACAAAGATAGTGTTGTGCGTAAATTTTAGCTCAAATTTTAGTAATTATAAATCTCTTAAAACAGTAACTTTTAATGAAATTACGTATTTGAAAAATATGTAATTAAAGTACCCCAAGATTCACGTCGTATTAAAAATAATTTCGATACTTTGGTACTTACCAAAATGCAAAATTCAGTAATTTTTAAACGCAAGTACAAAACAAACATTTGCTCAAAATGTCCACCACCATTTTCTATGCATCCACAACACCTTCGAATCCAATTTTCGTGCACTCGTTGGAAAACACTTCAAGAAAAGGAAATAGTGGTACGCAAAAAACACTCCGACACGGTTGAATCCAGATACCAACTGAATTGTGTATTGGTGGTTGCTGGACACTTTAGTACCTCGTGTTAATAAACCGCCGCGCCCTTGTCACATTGCTTGATATAAATTTTTTTGAATTTTAAATTTATTACAACGCTAATTATTTTTTGGAATTAAGCATAAAGTTCAAAAAAGTGATAAACATATGTTATGGTATTCTATGCACGCGGTTATGTTATTATTATCATTATTCCTTAATTAATCGTACTTTTGTATATCAAGTTGGAGATTTTGATAATTTTTTCCTCGCAACCATGTTATAAAGGTTTTTTTGTTTATTTTAATGTATTCTATCGTCTGTTAAAAGTTAAGGCAGTCAAACTTCTAACGCCCTATATACAGCAGTTCGAAAATAAATTTACATGAAGGGTGTTCCAAATTCTGATAATTTATTATACAGGGTAGGTTAATTTGGACTCGTTTGGGAAGGATCATCTCGTGTTTGTGAAGAGATACACAAAATGTGGTTAATATGTCTCGTACTTGATTTTTGAGAAAAATTGGAACATGACTACACTCAATATTTTGATTCTTTTAAGAGATACAGAGTGTTCGTCTTTTTTCCTCATTTTTTTGTGAGGTTCAATAACTTTATCATGTGTAGACATTTTTTATTCTTATTTAGGTGTTTAAATTTTTTCAATAATTTTTTATGCAAAATTCTGTAAATACGCGATATTTATAACTTTATTTTCAAATTTTTCAGTAATAACTCAAATATGTTTTATACAGGGTGTCCCAGAATATATGGGCAATCTCTCGGATTTATACAGAGGACGTTAAAATAACATGACAAGTTCTTATAAAAATTTTTCCCTAGAGGGCTCCCTTACCCCTAAAGGACGCCCATGCAAATAGATTTTTTTTTTAATTCTTCGCGTAATTTAATTATTTTTTAATACGATGGACAACAAATAAGACTCCTTAAAAATTGACCCATGAAAACAATTTAGTTTATTTGGTTTACCAGGGATGGACTGGCTGTAGCACAATAATGTCAATTTTTTTAAAACCCTTTACGATAAAGGCACAAAAATAATATTTTTACATATCTTGAACTTTAAACTAAAAAAAGGCACTCTTGGTTGATATCGATAAAATGAACTGATTTCGAGAAAAAACTGTTTTTGTCTAATATGATTTTTATTCATAATTTCAACATGAGCTCTTTTTAATGTTATGCGTTCCCCAGCTCTGGGAATTGAAGATTGTTGGATTCTCTGTTGTCCATCGTATTAAAAAATAATTAAATTATACAAAGTATTTTAAACAGGGGAACATTTTTATAGGAAATTGTCATGTTATTATAACGTCCCCTGTATAAATCCGAGAGATTGCCCACATAATCTGGGACACCCTGTATGGGCATAACATATATTTTCAATTTTTAAAACGTGTAAACTTTTTTAAAATATGTAATTTACTTAACAGGGATTTCTTTACTGAATCCAAGAAAGTAGAGGAAATTAGGAAAAAAGTTGTAATTTGAGCTTTTCAACAAAGTTATCAAATATTTCATGAGAACGAAAAAATTACAAGCAGTTATAAGTGAAATAAATGAAAAATAATATTAATTTGTAGTATTTATTTCAAGAATTGTATAAATAATACAATTATTACTTGCAATGGTTTATATTAGACACCCAGTATAAAAATTAATATTTTTTTTTACATGATTTTATATAACTGTTTGATGATACAAATCTCATGTAAATACATCCATAGCATGCTTGATTGTAACAAAGAATAATTGAATTACAAAAACATGAGTTTTGGTGTCGACACTTAATTTTTTATTCTACTTAAGAGTCGTATATGATATTTGAAAAAAAATTGTACACAGATTTAGAAAATTGTAAATATATAGGGCCTCGTTTAAAAATATTTAAATTCGAGTTATAATCTGCATATATACAAGGTGTCAAGCAATATGGTGGACAGTCTCCCAGATTTAGATGGAACTCGCGGAAATATGTTACAATATATTTTTTTTTATTTAAGTTCACACTGTTAAGTTGTCAGCTCAAGAAATTGTGAATTGAAATTTGATTTTGGGTTGGAACTTATTTGTCTCTCATTAAATGTGAATAATTTTTAGATAGAAGGTGTGTTATTTGAAGCTATTTGAAGTAGACCTGGGAGATCTTTGCCTTCGGAAAAACTAATTCTTCTAATTTTCATTACCGGTTTAAGTGAAAAAGGCGTAGTTTGAGATAAACGTGTTTAAAGATAAAGATTCCATACCTTGTCCGAATAAATGCATAATATCAATATTACCTATTTTTTTTTGCTGCATAAATTAATGTATTTATTAATAAGATTTGTCGAAAATAGTATGACATGTTTATCGTTAAACATGTTTATTTTGAAAATAATTCATAGTATGGATATCAAACGAGTACACATTTTTCATTTATAAAATTTATTGTAATATCCATGAAAAAAATTAAATTAGTAGGTTTATACAGGGTGATTCATTAATAATGGGACAGAGCTTAAGGGTATGTTGCTGACCTCAAAATCGAGCGATTAAGCCAAATATGCCTTATCCATGTTGCTGAATCATTATGACGTGGCATTAATGAAAAAAATCACAAACGAAGAAGAACTAAACTGTCTAGTATTTATAAATTGCTTAGAATTGACATAAATAATACATGACATTTCATTGACAGCGGCCACTTCATTTAAGTCGTCTTATTTAAAGGCGTACGTTCAAACAAATAATTTTGTAAAGAAATAGTAAATCGTTCTTATTTCGAAAACGGTTAAGCTTATGGACTTTTAACAGGTATACCTCTTTTATTTAGAATTGAACGTAGTTTAATGATTTCTTATTGAAAATTCAGATTTTTGAAGGACAAAAAAGTTTGACATATGTTTACTCCGACGGAACACTACAACAAGCGCATCCTAGATGTGATTGCAAAATAGTTACCATTTCCGTAATTACCATCTCAGAAAACATAGATGTACAAACTTTCAAGACAATCCGTTCAAAGATGCTGAAGATATTTAAAAAAATCGAAAATATTTTTTCAACTTTAACACCCTGTAGATCGAAAAGAAGCAACATTCGGATAAGGCATATTTGGCTTAATCGCTCTATTTTGAGGTCAGCAACATGCCCATAAGCTCTGTCCCATTATTAATGAATCACCCTGTATATTTTTATGGGACATAGCTTTTACTCAAAAACTATCCACATTTAATGAAAAACAAAAAAATTGTAATAAAAAATTTATTTTCAACTTCAAAAGCCAATAACTCTACAGGGTGAGCCCGAATAAAAATATATATTTATATAAACTTGTGACGTCTATTTCCTGGACACCCTGTATATATAGATTTTAGGTTATATTAAAAAATGTTACTCAAAATTGAAGTACGACATTTAAACCTGTGCAAATAATTTTGGAACACCCTTTTCGGTTTAAAATTGCAGTACGTACATTTCGACAGTTTGGAATAGACTACAAAATCTAACTAACAGCAACAACCTCTTCTAAAAAGGGACCCTTCATTTCTAAGACACATCGTCGACTAACAGAAGATTACTTACAATAATTGCACTGATAATGCTATCTATAACCCCATTTATGCAACTGCATGCCCCTATTTGCATGTCCCTATCGAATTCATCCACACCAGATAAACTAAAATCAGAACCGGCTGTTAACGTAATTTTCTCTGCCCCTGTAGGAAGAACAAGTCCTTCAGGCCCCGTGAGAGGGGCAAGAAGGGCCTGAAGAACCTCCAGTCGGTCAAAACGCTGGCCGGACGCACCGGAATCACTGCTCAAGCGCAGGGCCAGCTCGGCAAGGCCCGCAAACAGCCCATGACGGTAATTGCTCAATTCCAACAGTCGTTGCACTCCCTGATGGACACCCTGAACCAAGCCAACCCGTTCTTCATCCGCTGCATCAAATCCAACAGCAATAAAATCCCCAATACCTTCAACGAAGAGACGGTACAGAGACAGCTGCGGTACACGGGGATGTTGGAAACCGTCAGGATACGGCAGGCTGGCTTCAACGTCCGTTTAACTTACGACGAGTTCATCCAGCTGTACCGGATCCTCCTCCCGAAGGCGTTGTTGAGTAGTCAGAACGACGTGAGGGACTTCTTGTCCACGTTAAACTTGAACCGGGACAACTACCAACTGGGCGCGACGAAGGTCTTCATGCGCGAGTCCGAGAAATATAAACTCGACTGCAAGCTCCACCAGCAGATCATCTCGAGCATAGTGACGTTGCAACGATGGTTCCGAGCCTGTCTGGAGCGTAGGCGTTTCCTGAAGATCAGGTGGGCGGTGGTCACCATCCAGTCGTACTGTCGGATGTACCTGGTGCAGAGGTACGTGAAGAGGCTGCAGGCGGCGATGAAGATCCAGAAGTGCTGGAAGGGGTACAAGTGCAGGAGTTGGTTGCGGAAGATGAAGGCCGGCCTGGTTATGTTCCAGGCGCATTGTCGAGGGTTCAAGGTCAGGCAGATGGTGGCGGAGCTTAAGGCGACAGGGGTCGTACCTGCGAAGAAACCTCAGGTGAGTGTTTTTCACGTCGATGATATTTTTTATTTATATTGTATGCATCGGTTACATTTTAAAACAATACTGATTTAAAAAAAAAATTACTTTGTACTGTGTTGACGATATGGGTGTCTATTTTTTTGTAATTCTTTCATTTATACAGAAATAAGCTAGATATGATGTGAAAATAGTAAATAATTAGAAAATATAATTTATAATGAAAGGGGTTGATAGTGGCACCAATATGATTCCTTGAGGTATACCAACTTCACTGTTTGTGTGAAAAATATATAATTCTTGCAATATAATTAATATTTTTTAAATTTCTATCATTATTTAAATTCATCAGATATACAGGATGTCTGGAAATTATAAACATGAGTATACTCTTAAAAAATAACGGCACAATTTGTTTTATTTTATCGAAAACTCAATTTTAACGAAATTTACATAACTTTTTTCAGATCAGTATTTTTTTTTCAAAGTTATTTTGCTTATTTTGAGAGTAAACATTATTTAAAACGAAAATCATCAGGTTTCTAAAATTCTTAAAGATTTAAAACATGTTCTCTTTCGAAGAAATAGTCTGTAAAATTTTTAATTTGTTTCGTATGAGCACAATTTTATTTACAGTAATAAGTGTATGTACCAAATTTAAATCATTTATGCTGGAAAAAAATAAGAATGGCTCTGGAACTATTCCTTGAGGAATACCAACTACACTGTTGTAAAATGACATTTTTCTCAGACAAACTTTGGTATTACTTTAAAAATATGTCTCAAATAAAAGCGGAAATATTTTTCAAATTTTCTTGATTTCATTTCATGGGATATTATACATAGGGTGGCCCAAAAAGAACCAATATTTTTTTTTCGTGTCCTGTGAAAATATGTTATTTATCATGTTTTAAGAGCCCCCTCAAAAAAAAATTTTTAGAGGTCGCTCAAGATTTTTAAAAATTTCCAAAATTGTCAAAAATTGAATTTTAAAAAATTTTTTTTTCGTTATTTTATCATTTTCTAGGTTGAAAAAAAATCTCGATTCTGAAAATTTCAAATTGATATTTTAATTTCTAAAGGTACTCATAATTAATTTAACTTTAAAAGTAGTGTACCTAAAATGTTTTCAAGCGACCTCTAAAAATAAATATCAACGAACTAATAATTTTTTTATTGAACTTGAACAAAAAAATAGAAATAAATCACGAGACACTTAAAAAATTTCTCGAGGCAACATTTGCTTCCACTCTGTATCAAATATTTATAATTTTTTAATTTCTTAAAATTTAAGTGTCTCGTGATTTATTTCTATTCTTTTGTTCATCAAATTCAATAAAAAAAAAATTATTAGTTCGTTGATACATATTTATTTTTAGAGGTTTCTCGAAAACATAGGTACACTACTTTGAAAGTTAAAATAATTATGTAGTAATAGTGACCTTTAGAAATTAAAATATCGATGTGAAATTTTTAGAATTGAGAATTTTTTCAACATAGAAAATGATAAAATAACGAGAGAAAAAAATTTTTTTAAAATTCTTTAGACGATTTTGGAAATTTTTAAAAATCTTGAGCAGCCTCTAAAAAATTGTTTTTGTTTTGAGCTGATTATTTAGGGGGCTCTTAAAAATTGATAAACTAACATATTTTCACAAGAGACACGAAAAAAATATAGGTTTTTTTTTTTTGGGAGACCCTAATAGTCATATACAGGGTGTCCCCCTAACTTCGGTGAGGTTCGATATTAGGGAAAGTATAGGCCCTAGAGCTTCAGGAAAAAACTTTGTTTAATAAATGGACCAAGAGAAATCGCTGAAAATAGTTTTTAAGTTTGTAGCTTGGCCGCTAGAGGGCGCAATCTACACCTAAACAGAGTTGAATTTTTCTCAGAAATGTTTCCTATTCAGGTATATTAAATGGTACAAATATGGATAGCCGAATTCATTGCGCATAACATTTGTTATTGACATTTTGGTCTATCTCACGACAGAAAGGGTGGGGGAAGCCCCTAATGTCTGATCAGAAAGATGCATTTTTTTAGGATTAGCTCATCAAAAGCCCATGTTTCATGCTTTATCTTGTGGTGAATGCGTAATGTCATTTACCTCAATTTGGAAACCTGTAGATGGCGTTTTTTCAAAAGAATGCCGTTTTATGGCTTTTTCTCAAAAATTTTAAGTATAAATTAAAATATAGTTTTCTTTACATAAATGAATATAGCACAAGTTTGAAATTTCTAACGAAAATGTTGTTTAAATGGTATAGTCTATTTCGTTATTTATTGGCGCTATTTATCCAAGTTTAGTTTGTTTCACGTTTTCTTAAAAAAGTGAAATAACAGGATAAAACTTTTTATAGCTTAGTTTGAAGCGCATAAAAATAGCTACAGTTTGACGCCAAAAGGGGTTCGATATCTTTTTTATTTTCAAGTTTTTTCGCAAATTAGTGAACAAAAAATAAATAATGATAATGAATTGAGAAACACGACGCTAACGAAAAGTCATTTAATTTTTCAAAATAAAGTTTCAAATCAAAGTTGTTCAAAATTAAATTTTCTACAAAATACCTCCTATGAAAAACTTCGATTTTCTCAATAGTTTTCCTGTATATTATTTAAATTAAGTACAGATTATGTGAAAACAGATTTTTTAGATAATATTAAAAAGCACATACTTAATTCGTAATGTACACCCTCGAAAACCTATAAAATGATACGTTTGGTGAAAACTATATAAGATTTTCCGCAATTTTCTTTTCTCTAATCCACTTTTGTTATTTAAAAATGAATTGACCATTATTTTGGTTCCAAAACATTTTCACATAAAATCTGTACTTCCTTTAAAAAATATACAGGAACACAATTGGAAAAATCGAAATTTTTCATAGGAACAATTTTATAGGAAATTTAATTTTGAACAACTTTTATCTGAAACTTTTTTGAAAAAATGCATCTTCATTGAGATATTGGCCCTTTTTGGCGAAAAAACGCGAATATGTGTAAATATTTTAAGGTGTTTTGAAAGTAATTTTAGGGGGGGTACTTCCAATACATTCGATTTGAGCCCCCCCTCCCTGAGAAAATATTCAAATCTCAAAATGGCCGAAAAAATGAGCTTTTATTTTTTTTTATTAAATTTTTAGTTCGTATTTGCTTAGCTTTTCCTATTGTGTAAAAAGCATGTCAAAAATGATGATCGTCTTTGGTAACTGTTACACTAATTATTTGTACCTAATCGGCAAGGAAAAATTATTTATTTTTTTGCCGGTAAACCATTAAGTATACGAAAAAGTGGAAAGAGTAAAAAAGTTTCTAAATGAAATGTAGTATTAAAAGCTATTTTTGTTGTTGGAATTGGCTAATGTAGAAAAAAGTTGTGAGAGAAATAAAACCAAGGGGTGCTAATTTCTTTCATTCAAAGACAAACCAGAAAAAAAGACTGCCAAAAAATACCATTCAACTGTACCAAAATTTATATTTCTAAGTTTAACCGTTTTCGTGAAAAAAAATAAAAGCCAATGTTTTTGGCTATTTTAATTTTAAGATTTAAATATTTTCTCAGTTAATTCTTTCCGAGGAAAAAAGGCATTGTTGTTTTTTTTTTCAATAATAAGTGTACCAAATTTGGGAAAAAATACCTCATTGAGAAAAAAGTTATAGCAAAATGGTAATAAAAAAGAATTTGTACAATTTTTTTTATGAGTATTTATCTCCCTCAAATTTTTTTTAATTTATATTTTCCGAACACCCTGTATATTTCAGCAACATTCAAGGAAATAAATTTTCGAAAGCTCTGTCAAAATTTTATAATTATTTCATTTATTCAGAGATAAAAGTTAGATCTAATCTGGAAATAATTAATCATTTATTCTGGAAAAAGATAAGAGTGGCTCCGATATGATTCCTTGGGGAATATCTACTTTACTGAGAAATATTGCTACTCAAGTCACCACAAAGTCATTTAATTGTTTTTTTTTATTTTTTCCCTCAGAAAGGATTAATTCTTATGAAATATGTAACTTTGGCAATACAAAAACAAATACTTTAAGCAAATATATTTCTGCTTAAAATAAGTCAAAAACAAACTTTTTTAAAGACTTGTTTTTATATTTCATACCTACACTCCAATCCCATAACTTGTCCTCAGGAATAAAAACAAGCAGTAATGTTAATTGCATTTTAATAACCACTTTTATTGCACTAGAGCTAATGCAAATAAGAATTTAACTGCTACCTTACCATCAAGTCAATAAAACCTTATCTAAATACATTTTGGCTGGCATGGGTCCTATTTGATTTTCGGTGCTGGTGCAGTGATTGCAAATTTATTTTGTCTGGTGCAAGTTATTGATTGTATTGTATGTGATCGGATTCACACAGTCTGCCGTAGATTGACTCGTTGTTTACGCAACAATTAAAAATGTTTACCTCAGATAAACTAGGGGGTAGAGTTAAAGCCTACTGTAGTGGCTTTGATTAGTGCAAAGTGTGCCGGGAATCGTTGAAGTGAAATAATCAAAGGCTGTCAGTTTTTATTTTGATTTCTTTTAAAGAAAGTTTTGCGAGACATTTACGGGTGTTGTAACGTTCATACATCAATATGACTATAAAAATTCATTTCGATTCTTTCTATAAGTTTCCTAAACTGAGGGTAAGTTTTTTGGTAATATTTCTATTCGCGAATGATTTTTTAAAGCATAGCAACGATGAAATGCTCGTGTTGGTTTTAAGTGAGTTGAGTGAATTTAATAAATAGATTTATGTGGCGACAGTTCTTAATTATTAAAGATAAGCGGCGAAAGGAAGTGTCTAAATTTAAACCAAGGAAGACCGCACTTAACGCGTTTGAATATTGTTGATAAAAAGCCCACATGAGGTTGAAATAATTCTCTGGAATTCTTCTACATCAAATTTTAAAAGGGATGGAATAGAGTTCTCGATGTTTTTTATGTGTTTACGGGTTACTCACTTATCGTTTATAAATTTTAATCTCGAAATCCTGAGATTAGGTCCCAATTCCAAAATTTAACTAAAAAACTAGCATGTTCTCCTTTCCTCAAAAAAAAACCCATTAAGGTGCATCGTTAGAATTGAATTTTTTTTTTTCACCGTTTACGAAATATTGTTCTAAACATTGGAAAAAAAATTCTTACCAGATTTCCTCTCTTAATTTTAATTTTAAGTACTCGCTATTTGATTTTAAAATGTTCCTATTCATTTAACACGTAAACCTATGGTTTATTTTTAAATTATCTATATCTCATCTGCATTTCACGTTATTTTATTGTCCGTGGGCGATAATTATAGGAGAATCTTTGTTCTTCGAATGTGCCTATGGTAGGATCTATGTGACTTGAACAATTTTAATTTCATATAAAAATGTCATTTATGTTTTTGCTGTAAGTCTATTCAATTTATGAGAAAAATGCAAAAATCAATAAAAATTAACTTCAAGTTATTTTAGCAGTGAAACCATTCAAGTCACAGAGATCCACATTCAAAGACAAAGATTCCCCTGTAATTATCGCCTACGGACAATAAAATAATGTAAAATGCAGATGAGATATAGAGATATAGATATTTTTAAAAAAAGCCAGAAATTTACGGGTCAAATAAATAGGAAAATTTTTAACTGAAATAGGGAGTATATAAAATTAAAAATAAGAGCTGAAATTTGGTGCGAGCTTTTTTTCCAATGTTTAGAACAATATTTCGTCAATGGAGCGAAGAAAAAAAAATTCGCGCACCCTAGTGACCCATATCGTCAATGTGCGGAAAATGCCATATAAAAAACAAAAAACAGCACTTCCAAAATGTCAATAAAAATAAATTTCAATTGTTTCTGAAAGATAATTGGTCAATTCCAACTATGAAATGGCTGGAGACCCAATAATAATGACAGTAAAACATTCAGTTTCACAATTTTTATCATGAAAACGAGAAAATTAATTTTATATCGATCTTGGGAAAATTCCACTGAAAATTTTTTTCTGTGTGAAGTGTACAAAGTTTGCAATTTTTTATTTATTTGTAATCAGCGACCTCGAAAATATATGATGGGGTAATTCAAATGTGAACCGGACTCATCTTCTTTTCAATTTCTCCAAATTTTTCCATTTAGTTTTCTTGGAGAAAAAATGTTTCTATATTCAATTTTTCTGTAAATTGTAGACCTCTAAATGTGCCCATTCTTAAGTTATAGAAGGTCAAAGGGCAAGACCACTGTATAATTTTCAGAAAATCATTTTTTTTAATTGATTTTAAAGATGTTTGGAACTTTCAAGAATAAGGGAAAAAAATTTGTTGCCTGTACAAAATTGTTTTCTTTAAAATTCCAAGCTCTCTCTCAAGCCCGTCGAACTGCTCCAAAACAACTACCTGCGGCACATAGATATCTTCTAGAAATGTACAGCCTAATAACTTACCTTTTCATTTTTAACTTCTCTAATAAAACAGACTCCATTAAGAGTTTCTATGCAATTAGAAGCATTTTCAAATGAAAGTACGTTAGCATAGTGAATATCTCAAAATCTTAAAGGTGTTTTTCTCAGAACACGATTTTTTAAAATGGCATGTAGCATAATTCCAATAATTTTCATTCTATTCACTCCAAATTTTGTCCATATCTTTACAATAACATTTCGAAGAAAAGTACGTAATACATAATTTGATTTTAACATTATTGACAAATGATTGCCCCTTTTTTTGTCAAAATTAAACTTTTTACTTCAAATGCTCGCTAGTCACGGAAAAATTAATGTTTTCAAAATTTCGTACATTTTCTTTCGCCATACTCATGTAGATTAATAGAAAAATTTGAGTTTTTTTCTATATTCAAATTTACGTCAGTTACATACCGCAGAGCGCCTCAAATTCGAGGTGCCCCGGCGAAATAGTTCCAGCGTCGATAATTTGTACTATTTATGAATTATTATCCTCTTACTTTTCTTTTCATTAAAAAAAAAAAGATAACGTCTTATTTTAGACTAGAACTTCTTAATGAAAAATATTTGAGCTTCATTTGTTTTTTTTACTTATGTTAATAGCTTGCATATTTATAAATCGGGACACCTTGTATATTTATACAATTATTAGCAAAACGGGTGTATATTTTAATAAGATGTCAATTACAAATATTTACATATTTTTGGTAAAATAATGTTTAATAAACAGTTTGTACTGTTTTGTCGAACGTTTTATTGCATTTTTCTGTAGCGTTTATTAACACTTAATCATTTTAATGCAAAACCGGCCATAAAACCCTTATCAGATAAGATTTTAGATAAAATGTTTTAGTTTTATGGACAGTTAATTCCTTCCATCGATTCTAGGAAGAACTCCTTTGAATAAAAATAAGTATTTCTCAAAACCGAGTTTTCAGAAAACACATGAGAAATTGTTTGTACTTATAAATTCCTTATAATTATTTGGTATGTGCATAATTTCTAATGACAATTTTTTTTTTTAGATTGTAAGTGCAGTTCCACCTCATCTTCAAGTGAAGCACGTCAGTTCCGACGAAGCGTTCGTTAGCAAAGAGTCCAGCCAGGAAGAGCTTCAGTCCGACCAACCCGACAGGAGACTATTAGATTCCGACGAGTAAGTCTCGATTAAAAACAACATTAAAGATTAATTTTCTAATATTATTAGTTATTGTGTTTGTAATATTTAACCATTAATTTTCATAGGAGCAGCGGCGTTCCCGAGGATGATATCGATACGACCTCTCACAGCAGGCTGAGATCAACGGTGTCTCTACCGAGCGTTTCAGCTACTCACTCGGCCGCCTATTATCCCTACTTGAACAACACCATCAGCAAGTAAGTAACATTTTATACATGTGTCAGTTTTGTATCATTTTAATCATATTTAATTTTTTTCTTTTTTCTTTATTTTGAGGCGTAGTTACCCTGTCATAAATTCCTGTTAATATTTTAATTCAAATTTGATTTTAAACCGATTATTTAGTCTGCAAGGCCCTTTATTTATAATTATTAAAAGCTTTCAAGTGTGCGCATTCCCTTAGACTAGCCGAGAGTTCTTCAACCAGGCCGATAAGTTAATTCTAAACAGATACATGGTAAATTTTTTTTGTTTCTTTGTTTTCTATTAAGAAGCAGGGTATCCCTCTAATTTTGTCTTCTGGGGTGCATGATTTGAATTAAATTTTTGTATACCGAATGTAATTTTGAATATGTTTGATATTTATATGGGACTATCGTTGACTTTTAGAAGCACAAGTTTGTTTCCGTCATGAAATTTAAAATTTATTGTCATATCACATCAGGTGGATTGATATTATGTAGTTCACCTAAACCTAGGTCATTGTCAGAGGTCATTGACTATAACATACAATAAAACGTGGAAAAAATGTTAATAAACGTAAAAAAAAAATTAGTTTTATTCCCATAATTTAGAGAATTAAGTTAGTTTATACAAGTTTACTTTGTTGTGTACATTTAGCAAATAAAATTTTTATTGCATCATATTGACCGATCCTCAAGTTAAAAGAAAATTTAAAGGAAAATTTTTTATTTGAAAATGAACGTAGTTTTAAAAACGTCTTAATAAAAAAAACAAAACGATAACAAATTGTTTTGTATTGTACGCCCTGGCAGAAATCTGGATCAAAAGAGAAAAAGATTAATTTTCTTTAATTTAAATATCTAGAGGGCACTGGAGATGTCTGAAGACGTTGAAAATTAACCAATTACTCGCCTCTGGTTATAACTGAAAAATAAAGTTTGCTAAAAGGCTTAAAATTATGAAAACTTATAAACAGACAATTATTTGCCAATTATAATTGGCCGATTTCTCCATCTTCAGACATTTCCAGTGCCAACTAGAACTTGAATTTGAAAACTTGTATACAAATAAAGTTGTACATTTTAATCTGATAAAATTTGGGTGTTGTGGTTTTAAGTAAAGACGATTAAACCCAGGCTGTAATATTTGTTAGTCATTTCCTGAAAAATCACTCGCATTAAATATCACAACATTCACTGGCTCATCAAAATTGATTCAACAACATCTAGACGGCTACTATATACAAAAAGTAATTCCAATCGAGTCCCAGGAAAAATTTCAGCTAATTTCAAGGATATTCTGAATGAAAAAGGGAGCTCTATTGGTAATTAAAAAAAATATATGATTTAAAATGTATTTTATCATCATTTTAAGTTGCCACAATTGAATATTTGAAAATAACAAATTATCGTATTTTTTTTAAGTTTGAAATTTAATAACATTCTTTGTTTTTACGTGTTAATATTTTACCATACAAATGTCAATTATTTAAATTTACTGCAAAAACTTTGACTAACTCTCCGGCCTGTACCAAAGACCGCCTATCGCAAGACGCTAATGCGCACGCTCGATTTTCGCGCATTTAATCATACAAACGTTATTAATTTAAAATTTATAACACTTTACTGAAAATTAACAACATATATTTGTATTTAATGGTAGAACGGATGTATTTAATGAGAAATATTATTAAAATTGTCATTTAAAGAGTTGTTATTAACAATTGAAAATTGTATCTCGCCGACATTCAGTCGGCTAGTATAAGTACTAATACAGAATCCGTAACGTTAGTTATTTGGAGGTGTGTGTCAGTGATGGCACAGCTGAACATTGATCGCTCGGTTTCTCTAGCAGATCTGCTCAGTAAGTGCAGTCACGTGGTCGATCCAGCAACCAATGGACTCCGCCGATGCCTTGCCGCACGGCCGGATGATCCCGTGGTTTCTTGAACGTCCGCCATTTCCAAATTGGGGGGTTACGGATGGGTTTCATTTAAGACACCTCCATAATAGGGCACTGCAGTTTCAGCAGTTCGCCATTTTTTTGCAATCTGTAGATCCAGTATTTTTGAAGCATTGGCCGTTTTGTTTTAAATGCTGAGAAAAAATTGTATTCATTTTATGGAAAAAAAAGATTACTAAAATATTTTTCCATATTACGCCATTACAGTTTTGGTAGTTCAAGATTTTTAATATCCTCTGGTTTTATATTTTATAATTATTTGCCAATATTTTTAACTGCATCGAGAAAACTGTAAATGGCACTGAAAATGTTACATAAACACGAAGAGAGCATCATAATATAAAATATAGTATTAATAATTACTTTTTTTCCTTAATCATAGAAAACAGAGCCATTAAAATTAATATATTTTGGAATATTGAAACACTTTTTATGCTGTTCGAGAGAAAAGAGTTTTACTGTTCTGAAATAGTTTTTCACTTTTCCATTATATTTACGCAATTTTATCCGATTGAACAAGAAATATTTATATTTTTAGGAACAAACGTATGAAGCAATTACCGATTCCATAAATAGCTAATCTAAATGTTATATTTTTTATTTTTTTACAGATTGGAGGTCTCGAAACAGGATAAGCCACCTCCCGAAACCCAGAGGAAGAAGATCCAGAAGTCTCACCAGACCATCGACTACTCCGATCTCGACTACATACCCCAGAGGAAAAGCAGCGGCGACTCGTTAGCATCTCAACACAGTTTCGAGTCGCAGCAAAGCTCGGACTCCCATTCCAGCGTAACCGTCCGCGAGTTACACAAACAAGAAGCGCCGCCCCTCGGCAAGCAATGGTCCTCGACCAGCACAACCAGCGAAACGTTCTCGGAAAGCGGCATCACCCAGTCGGCGCCGCCTATCATGAGCGAAAAGAACTACGATAGTTTTTCTATGGACGATTATACGAAACCGCCCCTGATTAGGACCCAAGCGATCAATACCGCCGTTAGACGAGACTTTAGACATTCGAACGATGGGAAGTACTTGAGGAGTTACCAGCCGGTACGCCGACCAGCGAGAGAGAAACCGGGATCGGACGACAGACCCGACGTTTATCCCTACGACCAAACCCCCAACAAACTCGAACAGATCCTCGGGAGACCCGAAGCACCCATTCGAAATACCCGGAAAGCGAAGCGCACCCACGTGAAGAGCCTCGGCGAGGAAGTCACGGACGGTAGCAGCATCGAGAAGAGCCTCCTCCTCGGCACGATAGACGAATCCAAGGCGCAACCGGACCTCAACAGAAATCAGAAGGATAATATGAACGCTTTCCTGCAAGGCGAGGGCGGCTCACCCTTGATGAAACAATCGCTTACTCCGAAACGACAGAGACCTAACCTGCCCAGTTTGGACCTGCGAAGGCGGAATAGCGATCCCGCTACGAAAGCGACCATTTCCGATCAACCCGGCGGTCTAGACGCAAGCCCCGCCATAAAAACCAACGAGTACAAGTACGGAGACTTAAACGCCGTTTCCATGGCTGGTCACACGTTCCGAAAAATCCCGAGGATAACGAAAGACGACTCCTGCAACTTCTGCAAGGAGAAACTAGACGCGTTCCTCACTCCCGGCTATAGATGCACCACCTGCAAGCAGCAGTTCCACACGAAGTGCATCCAGAACAAGAGCGTGCTGGAGATGCCGTGCGAATCTCCGAGAGGGAACGCCGAAGTGAGATCCGGAAGGCGTAAGCACCGAAAACACTCCAGGGCGCCGTACGACCTCCGGAAACCGGACGAGAGCAAATTTAACCTCACCAGAACGTCGGAATTCACCGACAGGACGGATCAAATCATCACCGGAGCCGAGGAACTCACTTTGATGCAGACGTTCATCACCGACAAGATACTGAAGATGGAGGCGGAAGGCGGCAAGAGCAGCGAAGTGGACAAGCTCTTCAAGCAGGCGTTGCGGGAATTCAAGGATAACCTCATTCAGATGTACAGCAGCGCCACGAAACACAACAGCCTCGACACGTACAACATCAAATACAAGGACCTGATCCTCGTCTTCATACAAGCCATGGAGACGGTCTGCCAACGCGAACAAACCGCCAGCGAGATGAAGGATTTCCCCGTCACGATGGGCGTGAACGCCTTCCGCGGCTTCATGAACGAATTTATGACTAGCAAGGCGCTGGAGAAACCGAGCAAGTCCAAGAGGAAAAAGGAGAAGAAGCGGAAGTTGGAGACGTACAAGTTCAACGGCCACACGTTCCTCCTGACAATCATAAACATCCCGACGGCTTGCGAGATATGCAGCTCGTTCTTCATGTGGCCCGTGGAGAGGGGCCTGGTCTGCCAAAGCTGCAAGCTGACTTGCCACAAGAAGTGCTACACGAAAGCGAGCACGTGCCAGAAGGAATCGGGGCAGGGAGAGTCGAAGAAGATCTTCGGAGTGTCACTAGTCACTCTAGTCACCGATGAAAACAAGATACCGTTGGTTATCGAGCGGTTGTTGAGCACAATCGAATTGTACGGACTGTACACGGAAGGTATTTACCGAAAGTCGGGCGTCAGTTCCAAGATAAAAGAACTCAAACACAGGATGGACGAGAACCCCGACGAGGTGGAGTTCGAAAAGTACCAAGTACACGTTCTAGCGTCGGTCCTGAAGAGTTTCCTACGAGAAATGCCCGAACCCCTGCTCACCTTCGAGTGTTACGAGAACTTCATCACCGCCGCCAACTTAGAAGTGGAAAGCGACCGTGTCGCCACCCTCTACGACATCCTCAAGAAGCTGCCTCCCCCGAACTACGACCTCATGGAGCGGCTGATGTTCCACCTGGCTCGGATAGCGATGCACGAGGAAACCAACAGGATGAGCGCCGCCTCCCTTGCCATCGTGTTCGCCCCGTGCGTGTTACGGACTAACAAAGTGGTTCCGGCCCAGGAGAGCCTGGTGGACATCAGCAGTCAGACGCAGTGCATCGAGACCATCATCAAGGTACAGCTGAGGAAGATAAGGAACACGCTGGAAGACATCGACACGTTGGACACGGCGTGCCAGGCGGCCACCAACCGGCTGTCCTCCCTGCGCAGCTCCAAGGTGTTCACCCCCGACGAGCTGCTGCCCGCCAACCAGCCCTCCCAGCAGCAGACCGACGACGAGGAGCACCTGCTGGTGGACCACATCCAGGAGATCCGGAAGGAGAAGGAGCACCTCACCTCGACCTTGCCCACGCTGACGCACGCCACGTCCGACGACGACATGCTGTCCACCGACGGGGACGGGAGTCTGGACGATCTGTCCTGCATAGGGGACAAGAGGCCGCGGCCGGTGGTGCGCTCCATCTCCACGGGACCCATGCTGCCCAAGCTCAGGAGGCAGCTGTCGACGGAGGTCGGCGACGGAGGAGGAGGAGGCGGCGGGAGAGTCGTGGAAGACTGCGAGGATCCTATAATGGTGTAAAGTGTACATAGGTTCTAGTATGTGTACATACTCCGAGACTACTTGTCCTTTTAGTGCTGTAGTAGGTAAATGAAATTTATATTTTTTAAATTATTGTGCGATGCGCCACACCTGAGGATATCCTTTTCTTGTATTATATTTTCCCCTTTCGTTGACATCATTTCGTGGTCAAGTGATATATGTATGATAGGATCGCTGCAAGGTAACCATGACAGTCGACTTGGAGTGCAAATTTCTAGCTGTCTATACGTTCACTTTCGAGTGGTTGTACAGGGAACGTGGGGGGCAGGCTCGCGCCCGTGTCGGTCGTTGACGTGGATTCCGGTTTTGGCCTAAAGACTGCTTTATATCTGCCGATGACGAATCTCAACGCACCAAACTTAACGATGATTCCTTTCGGTATAGGTATTTTTTCAAATTTATTTCGGAGTACACACGTGTTCTCAAACGTAAATTCTGAGTATTCAAAAGTTTAACTAAATTTTTAAATTTGGTAAAATTGAACAGTCATTGCGTTACAATGTGTTTTTTATAAATGAATTTTTGTTTAAGAGGGTTCTACGGCAAATAGGCAACCAGCAATACATTTTTATCGATTTTATTACACAGTTTGTCTAAATCTGAATTAATGCGCAAATAACAGACTTTCCCCCATTTTAACGCAGATTTTCTATAAAATGGACTTGGTTTGAAACCCAAATTACTCTGGTGTCAAGAAATTTGTAATTTACGATTCCAAAAGCGGCAAATTACAAATTTCTTTACAAGAAAAAGTAATTTGAGTCTCAAACCAAGTCCATTTCATAGAAAATATGCGTTAAAATGGAGGAAAGTCCGTTATTTGTGAACTGATTCATATTTAGACAAATAACAGACTTTCCCCCATTCTAACGCAGATTTTCTATAAAATGGACTTGATTTGAAACCCAAATTACTCTTTGGTGTCAAGAAATTTGTAATTTACAATGCCAAAAGTGGTAAATTACAAATTTCTTTAAAGCAAAAAGCTATGTGAGTGTCAAACCAAGTCCATTTTATAGAAAATCTGCATTAGAATGGAGAAAAGTCTGTTATTTGCGCATTGATTCATATTTAGACAAACGGTGTAATAAAATCTGTAAAAATGTATTGCTGGTTGCCTATCTGCTATAGAGCCAATTCAAGTGTTGAAATCGGTTATTTAAGTGTGGACAAGGATAGATATTTTGACAAATCTAGTTCGCAGCGTGTATTTTTCCAAAGAATTGCAGTGTATTCATATGATAAACTAACTCCTATCAAATCAGCAAAATTATTAGAAAAAAAAGTATACATGCAAAAAATTCAAAATTTAAGTGACGTTTAACGTTGGAAACGTTAAATATCAAATAAAATGTGTGGAGACGATGAATTATTCCAATTGCGAAACGAAATTTGTCAGTTTATCTAAAAATCTTGAGACGAACAATCCGTCGTAAAATCACCCAAACTGTTGCAAGATGTATGAAACAACTTTTTTTTTCTGGAGCGTTGAGACGTAATTCGAAAGTATCAAGGGAATGTGTCCGGCGCAAGCTCGTCCCCGACTCGTACAATTGTGATGTTAAAACGTTAAAATACTACAATAGGCAGGGTAATAATCATTTACCAGCTGTAGGGAGTGTGGTAACAACCTTTATACGTTCTAGTATTTATCACTGTAACTCAAAACGCTTATACGACTATTGTCTACGAGAGAGAGAACTCTGTAGTAATTTTACTCGAAGAACTATAAGTGTTCCAAACGTAACACACAATCCAACCAAATCAAGAGACACATAATTTTATTTTTGGATATTTATAGTGCTGGTAGTAAAACGAGAAACGTTTCGGTTGAAATTTCCAGTCAAACAATTCTGACGAGGCGGGATTTGGAACTGGATTTAAAAAAATTGTTATGTTTATATTTTCGTCAAAACCATCAAAATTTAAGTTTCCTGTGGAAAAAAAATTCCAGATGCTGTTCCCATCTCCCGTTTAAGCGTTTCGTAAATTTTCCGATAGACAAAAACTAAATGTGCCAACTAGGCTGATAATTACTTGTTGCAACTTTGGATATATTATAAATGATTGTTTCGAGGATTTGTTGGCAGTTTTCCGATTGCCGCTTAAATTTGTTGAGAGATTTTAAAATACTCATCTATCTGTCTCGGTATTATTCCTTAAACGATCGGCAGTCGATGTTTCAGAAATCGGACCAAAGCAATATTTGAATTAGGAGAATTTGTTGAGTTTTTATTTTATTTCTTAGCGGTTTGATTAAGTTTTCGGTTGTTTAAGGAATAAGATCACCCTTTGAGATGAAATTTAGATATTTATTGCGTTGAACATTTTAATGCATCCTTAATCACTGTTATATATTAACGATAACTTTTAATAATTTATTGCCAAGTGTTGAAAATTGTAAATTTTTTAGTGTTTTCGAAGCTCAGTTCCTTCTATTCAGAGAACCAGTTCTCGGTTTGTTTTATGTTTTTTATCGAAAACGTTGCGTTTGTTGTTAAATGCCGTCGTTCAAATCAAAGTCATTTCCACGGATACTTCAAGTTAACTTAACCCTGCTTTAATTTTAAGTTGAATAATGTTTAATTTACTAACATTTTTATATTTCTTTTTATGTGTATTTTACTTAAGGTGGAACACAGACTGTGTGTTGTAATAATTTATTGCCATTCCGAAATTCCTCTTCTCTTTTTTGTAAAGTGTGTGTTTACAAGCTCAAACGACTGCATTCCTACGTACAGGGTGAGCCAAAAGTAACTTTCCTGTGTTGCATAATTCTCACTTGGTTATTTATTATTTCAAAATTTGTGTTGCTTCGGAGATAAAATTTTGGGAGATCTAACTTGAATTTTTTTTTAAAATCATTGATTTAACCAATATTTTACGGTGCGTGACCTGCTCCAACAATGTATAATTCTTATAATTATTAAAGAAATAAATTGTTGTAACTCTTGGATCAGTTCATACGCCATAAAATCTTCACGGATGTTCGAGAAATAATGTTGTAATTCTAGTGTGTTGCGCTATATATCATCTTCGTAGTCGATACCTTCCAAGTTTTGTCTGCGAAGTAATAAATACGGAATAAACGACAAAATAACTGCTTCGGAATTATTTAAACCAGTAAGGTTACTTTTGCCGTACCCTGTATACTATCGTTCTTTTTTTATTAAATAATACTGATCATAACCATGGTTGTATGGGGCATTCAGTGACTGAGTTATTTCTTTCTCATAAATGTTGGTTAAGTAAACATTTATATCTAAATTAATAACTATACCAAATGTTAACAATAATGACAGAATTGTTTATATCAATATACAAACATTAAACATACTTTGTAAATAAAAACATTCAATATACCACGCTAGTTTTTTTTTCCTGCAACGTTCCTTGGTATTTTTTTGAACATTTGATTATGAATGAATTTTATTTTGTTTCGCAGAATTTTAAATATAAACATCGAAAAATTCTGGTACTGCAGCCAAAATTTTGAAAATAATAGTTTCTCATAAATAATGTTCCATGGTATTTTTTGAACGTTTGAATATAAATTTTATTTTGTTTAGCAGAATTTTAAATATAAGCACCGAAAAATTCTGGTACTGCGGCCAAAATTTTGAAAATTATTGAATCTCAAATAATGTTCCGTGGTATTTTTTTTAACATTTCAACATGAATATGAATTTTATTTTTTTTTTAGCAGAATTTTAAATATAAGCACCGAAAAATTCTGGTCCTGGGGCCAAAATGTTGAAAATTATTGAATCTTTAATAAAGAATGTTCCATGGTATTTTTTGAACATTTGAATATGAATTTATATTTTTTAACAGAATTTTAAAAATAAGCACCGAAAAATTCTGGTATTGCGGCCAAAGTTTTGAAAATTATTTAATCTTTCATAAATTATGTTTCATGGTATTTTTTGAACGTTTGATTATGAATATGAATTTTATTTTTTTAAGCAGAATTTTAAATATAAGGAAAAATTCTGGTACTGTGGCCAAAATTTTGAAAATTATTGAATCGTAATGTTCCATGGTTTTTTTCAAATGTGTGAATACCAAATGTTGTATCTGCTTCTCAGAAATTCTTATTATTTCCAGATATTATAAGTTGCAAAAAATTCTCCCGCACAGTGGTCGAAATGTTGACATTATTAATTTTAAGGTCGATGCTACAATTTGACAGTTGCTAAAGTTGGTACAAATTTCTGGTAACAGATGGCGCAACCACAATTTTGTTTCCATGTCGCCCACACAAGTTTAACGACAAGTGTATACAAGTAAGGTACCCACAAGGGTGGAGAAGGGCTGGGATCTACCGCTCGCCTCGACTACATTACTAGATTAATGGAGTGTTCCATTCCAGGTTTCGACATAAATTTGAGTGTTATTACTGCATTTATATGGTTTTAGTTTGTTTTGCAATGTCCAGGTGGGATAATTTATCCATTTTATTTTGAGAAGAGACAACCCTACCCCCACCTTATTTCAAGAGTTACTGAGTGGAAAATTTTTATACTGTCTACTTGTATTAATATCGGCCAACTAGTACTGGCGAGATGTAAGTGGCGCCATCTGTCGGTAGACAAATGAAACGCAGTTTTTTTAGGAAAGGAGTTGGACATTGAAATATTAACAACCAATCTTAAATTTTTCTAAACAATGAATACTGAAATATAGTTTGAGAGACGGATAAAATTGGCACTTTTTTCGTTTATCTGCGATAAGAGTTCCGCTCATTTTGGGGCTGTACGTGTACACTATTAAATAAAAGACCATTTAAATTTGTCATATAATTTTATTTAATTACGAAAAATATGCTACGTAATCTTTTGCCTCGTAACAACATCAAGAAAGTAATGAAAAGTCTAATAAGTATTTGAATTGAATCACTTGTGCCGTTTGCTGGACATCTAAATTCACACACATTGTAACAATATTCTGAGTTGTAAACAAATAACAAGTATTATTCATTGCCATACTAAAATTAAAACATAAATAATTAGTAGTCCTTGTTGTGTTTTTTTTTTACCCTTTTCGCCGTTCTCCCTCTACGGCCTCCGATATATGTACGCCTACTCTTTCCTATGTTACAACAAATGGGATTTCGATAAAATAATTGTCATGTGTCACAAAACGTTAAAAAAAAGACCCTATCGTGCTTTACAAGTCCGTGTTCTCTAAGAAAAGTGGGTTGTTCACTTAAGTTCATCCGTGCCGTGGACACTTCACTTGTTGCTGGCCCCCAATCGCGCACCCTCCTCGCAGTTCTTAATATATCACCTCGTATACCGTCGCTTTCTTGTCGCCGGAACCCGTCACTATGTACTTGTCGTCCGTTGAGATGTCGCAGCTCAGAACGCTCGACGATTCTTTCGACTGAAACAAATGATTTTCGTTAGCATATGCATGGGAAGAAATACCGCACACTGGTATTGAATTTCAAAAATAATGTACCTAATAAACTTTACTAATAGTCCACTAAAGACTCTTAGGTGAAAGAGCTTACAAAAAATACCACCTTGAAACAAAAAAATATGGTGGTATAGGAAAAAAATTCTAAGAAAGATAGTGTATTTTTCTTGTGGCGCATAAACGGCGAAGTTAACCTAAAAAATTCATAAAAGTAAAAAAACGTTTTTTTGCTAAAAAAAAGTACTTCAGTCAAAAAAAGTTAAATGAGAAAGTTGTAGCTATTAAAAAAACCCATCGATTCGTATTTTTTAAATATATCTATTGCTATATTACTTACTTTTCAAGATATATTGAAAAAACCTACAAAAATTGCCTTTTTTTAATTTTTGCTGTATCTCCTGAAAATTAAGGTTTTGAAACTTGCTACTTGCTGTAAATGTAGTCCTCGGCAAGCAAACAAAGTGCCTTTTTTTAAATTAAAAAATATAAAAAATTTTTTGTAATATTTTTTCAAAAAAAAGGTCATCTCGAAAATCGGTTCTTCTTGCTTGACGAATAGCTGTAGAGAAACGAATCAGGCCTCATTTTCTTCTTGAAAGTTGTACTTTCATGGTAAAAAAGAGTAATAATTTTATTTATTTCAAGTGTCCAAAAATGACTAAAAAAACTAAACTGTGATTGTGTTTTTTTTTTTAATATCTTTATCGATTTTCATTTCTCGATAATGTCTGTTACAGGAATCGAGATTGCTAGCATTTCTATGAGAATTAAAAAAAAAACCTTGCTCTACGACCTTCTGGAGCCGAGACAATTTTTTTTTATCAAAAAATTCCACAGGCCGGTATTAAGAAAAATTACATTTTTCAAAGGTAATTATGCTTTTGAGGCCGTCGTATTTTGGTTTATCTCCAGATAAGTACAAACGGATTTTTGTACATGGTCCAGAAGACAAGATAATGAACGCGCGAATTCAGTTTTCGGATAGGCCGAGTAGCGTTACCCCCACTCCACCGCCCACTAGAGTTAGCTCACGCTGCGCTCGAATGCTTCAGTTTGACGCACAAGTAAAAATGCAGAAGTGACTAAAATGAATCACAGTATTTTTTTATTGAAAATATAAATTTTCAACTTCAATTTCTGTAAGAATACACACTGTAGCACTTAAATAGCGCTCCGCTCCAGAAGGTCGTCGAGCAACGTTTTTTTAATTCGCGTAAAAATGCCAGCAATCGATTCCTGTAATAGACATTATCGAGAAATGAAAATTGAAAAAGATAGTCAAGAAAAACGCAATAAAAAATTTTAACTTTCTTCAGTCATTTTTGGAAACTTGAAATGAAAAAAATCGCTATCACTCTTTTTTACCTTGAAAGTACTTTTAAGGAAAAAAATGAGCCCTGATTCGTTTCTCTACGACTATTCGTCGAGCAAGGCACTTTATTTGCTTGCCAAGGGCTACATTTCCAACAAGTAATAAGTTTCAAAACCTTAATTTTCAAGAGATACAACAAAAACAAAAAAAAGTCGACTTTTGACGGTTGTTTCGATATATCTCTAAAAGTAATAAATAGCAATCGATATATTTAAAAATACGAATTGATAGGTTTTTTAATAGCTACAACTTTCTCATTTAACTTTTTTTGATTGGAATTCAAGTTTTTTTTTTTTGACATGAATTTTTTAGATTAACTTTGCCATTTCTGCGCCACAGGAAAAAAATACTATCTTAGAATTTTTTTCCTGTATCACCATATTTTTTATTTCCAGGTGGTATATTTTGTAAATTTAACATTAGGCCACGACAGATAGATTGGACTATAAATAAATACATTTTGGGGAGCCTAATCAGGTGAGAGGAATTCAAATCTGATCCCAAACCCCTCCGAGAACAGAGATCTAATATACCAAGTACAGACTGAGAAAAAGGACACTAACTCCTTTTAACTTATTTGAAGCGATCCGTTCAGATTTCAAAACAAAATTTTTCCTTTACAACCACTGAGAATAAATTTAAAAGTGAAGTTTACTATTATCCTGTCAATTTGTAAAAATATGACCTGCGACTGCTTATACAGGGTGTAACTTTGAGTAGGGGACATATTTATACAGACATTGTTTATTTTTTCAAATTTTCTCACAAAAGCTTATTTTTTTTAGTATTTTTCGTACCCCGCTGCTGGAGAAGATAGTGTAACCTCAAGTTAGTGTTTAGTCACAGCAAATGCACGATTTCACACAATTTGCCGCACGCTACATTTGTTGAGTGCCTGTTTGCCACACAAACAGTACTCAACAAGTAACCAAGCAAAAAAAAACTCATGTCGTAATCAAGATTGATAAATGAAATACACAAAAATAAATAGTCTGTTGACGGCTTCCAGCGATGAAAAACATTCCAATTCGCAGTTAGATGTACACTGCTGGCCCTTTGAAAGTGGACGTTTTATTTTTCTAATGTGATGTGGTCTCCTTTTTATTATGACAAATTCTTATTTGTCAGTGTCATTAGTAATTTGCTTGGTAATTCAAAATGCCGCGTTTAACGGAACCAGAGAAAGTGAGAGTTATAACTTTACTTCAGAATGGTTGGTCATTGCGGATGATCTGCATGTATGCAAGAACAGCATATTTAAACTAGTGCTGGCAAAAACCGGAAAAAAGTGAAACCGGTTAACCGGGTTCCGTAAAAACCGATTTCAGATAAAACCGGTTAGTCGAATAACCCGTTACTTGAATCGCCAAAACCGGATATCTGAAAATCGGTGCTTTACAAAGACAGACCCGGAGAAATTGTCTAAAAAGGTCTACAAAAATCTGGAAGTCAAATTTGTTTACGAAGAAATCAATCTCAAAAAAAAATTGCAATCGGACAAATCGATGTCTAAAAAAAAAGGAAGTAGATCATCGAATAATCGGTTATTTGAATAATCGGATATTTGGAGATTCGAATAACCGGTTTTCGGATATTTGAAGATTCGAATAACTGGTTTTCGGATTTCATAAAAATCCGAATTATCCGAAACCGGTTAACCGACTATCCAAAAAACCGATTTCAGTTGCCAGCACTAATTTAAACTCAAAAAAAAAAAAAAATGGGAATGCTCACTAGAACTAGTATGATAAGACACACATTAAATTTGATATAATGACAGCCGATTTGAACCTCACACTTTCAAGTCAGCTTCACAAAGGCCAATTATAGACAATTTGCTTATAAGAGTCGTCCACTTTCAAAGGGCCGGCACTGTACTTTCTCCAAATGCGGAACAACTGACACCCTTCGCTTCGTCACTGTTGACCCACACTATCTCCCTTCACACGCACTGTAGGTTGCCTACAATTCATGTATTTGTAATACATGGATATTACAGTGGTGGCGTACGCAAGTATTAAAGTCGTTATAACTCGACAGATTCGTATTCAGGGAAACATGTACTATTACCCCTAAAAAGGTGACCCCCACTTAAAGTTACACCCTGTATTGTTCTCATTCGGAAGTGTGGATATTTTTATGGTTTTAGTTTTTAGTTTTTCATTTGGAAATTTTGCGGGTATGGTTTGGTGGCAAAGTTTCAGTTCTTGTTTCACTTCATGGAACGAAAAACTTATTTTTATTTTACATGCGCCCCTTTCTATCGAGAAAAACTGAGAGGTTATTTACAAGAAATTATTAATTTGTTTTTTACTCGTTACGTTAATGCTCTGTACACCTACAATCAGGACACCCCGTACTTGGAAAAAATCGAAAAAACTAGAAAGACTCACCTGGAATATACTGGCCCCGTACGGCGTCCTCCAGGCGTTAAGCAAATTATCCTTCCCGGTGGAGACGAACCACTTCCCACAGGTCGCGAACCTTAAACTAAGAACACAGCTCTCGTGCAGGTGCAACTGGTACTTGTCCGGCTTGTTGGCGTGCAACACCTCGACGTGCGAGTTCTCCATCCCCACGGCCAACCACTCGCCTGTCGGGCAATACCCCAACGAGAATATCTGCGAGCTGAAGTCGTGCTGCTGCAACTGTTTGCCCTCCCGCAAGTCCCAACTGCGCACGGTATTGTCCAACCCGCCCGTCCACAGTTTCGTACCGTCCGAGGAAATGTCTATGCAGGAGGCGCCGTCCGTGTGCCCCTGGAACTGTCTCACTAGAGTCTGGTTGTGCAGGTCCCACACCGCGATGTTGCCGTCCGAGCAACAGCTGAAGCACACTTTAGAGTCGGGGCTGATGGCCAGGGCGTAGCAGGCGGGGGCGCTCGAGGTGAGCTCCGCCTTGATGCGGGGCGTGGGGCTCGCCAGGTCCCAGATGGAGAGGTTGCTGGCCTCGCCGCCGACGATCAGGGTGCGGCCGTCCGGCAGCAGCTTCACGGACCTGATGTAGTTGTCCCGTTGCTGAAAATATGGGACCGTTAGCGGTGAAATTCAACTTTTAGGAAAACGGTTAACTATAACTATTTTATTACTATTTACAAGTTTTTTATGGATATTTTTAATACACTTAAAAAAAGAAAAAAATTACCAACTGAAATTAACTAATTTCTTTATCGAAAAAATTGAAAGGTTTGTTTGCGGCATCGCCAAGTAAAAAATTGAGTATTAACAGTGGTACATCTTACCAGACAGTCCAGCTGCGAGACGGGGCTCTTGGATCCGGGTTGGCTGATGTCCCACACCTTGACGCAGCCCTTGCCTCCCGTATATACATATTTGGTGGGGTTAGAGATGGTGACTGCACAAACAACCTCTCCGTGACTTAAAGTGTTAATCTGTCGCGCGTGGCGGGGGATCCCGGGTCCTATAAGGGCATCGGTAGGGAATGGAACAGGTTGAAGCTGCCCTTCACCGTTCATATGAAACGAGTAAGCCCTGCGTACAGTTCTGTAGTTAGTGTGACGTGGCAAGCGGGTGTTATTCGATATAAAAACAACGTAAAAGTTCGAGTCGGAAAAGTAGAGGTTAACGGAGAATCTTTCACCAAGATTACGAGGAGGTTCAGTCGGTAGCGGTTAAAAAGAAGTTTTTTTTGCAATTTTAATTGAAAATATGATTGTGACAGTCGATAAGTCAGTCTTAGATAAAGTGAGGCTATTTTCGGTAAAAACTTTATCATATAACTTACGGTTTTCCTCCGGGTATGGCGCCCATGCCGTTGGTGGCGATGCCGGGCGCTCTGGAGTGCGGATGCCCGTCGTAGCCCATCATGGGGGGTCGACCGTAAGGGGAGGGGGCGACGTTGTTGTAGGGACTCAAGTGGTCAGGCCCCCGGGCTCCCGCCAGGGGATACGGGGGGTACTGACCATGCCCCACTTTAGGGCCACTCCCAGCGGGTCCAGCTCCGAGATTCGGCGTTGTCGATCGGGGCTTTGAACCGGGGGTCAGGGGTTTTTCCTGGGGAAGACACAGAGATACAAGATATCCGACATAAAACAGCAAACATATGTAATTCAACACATGAATGTTGTAAATTTTATATTCCAGTAATTTTCAAACTGAAAACGACGAAAAATAAAAAGATCAAAATAATACTTTGTATTAAGAGGGCTCTAGTATAGTAAATAGGCAACCAGCAATACATTTTCATAGATTTTTATTGCAAAATTTGTCTAAATATGAATTAATGCACAAATAATAGACTCCTCCATTTTAACACAGATTTTCTATAAAATGGACTTGGTTTGAAACTCAAATTACTTTTTGGTGTGAAGAAATTTGTAATTTACGATGCCAAATGCGGCAAATTACAAATTTCTTTAAAACACAAAGTAATTTCAGTTTCAAACTAACTCCATTTTATAGAAAATCTGCGTTAGAATGGAGGAAAATCTGTCATTTGTGCATTAATTCATATTTAGGCAAACTGTGTAATAAAATCTATAAAAATGTTATGCTGGTTGCCTATTTGCTATAGAGCTGTCTTAAAGTAAACCCTAAACGATTGAAAAATCAATTTCAATAATGTTTCAAATTGCACTATTTAAAAAACAAATATGTTAAGATAAAGTTGTCCATAACCCTCCCATCCACATGAACACAACAAAGTCAACACTTCACAGGTTTTCATCGTAAAAACATAATCTAACTACGGCAACTAATATTAAATTTGAAATGAGATTTTACACAAATATATTTTAAATAAAATAAACACTTCCCACAACACTCGCATTGAAAATCGTGAAGAATTGAACATTGAGGTTATGGGGTAGACGCAAACAGAGATAGTACTGCCAAAAACAATTATCGGATGGGTGAGAGAAGGCCATAATTTTATGATCAAAACTTTTTTAATGCACCGTCTAAAGCAAATGCCGAATTATATAAAACGTAAAACTTTAAGAGTTACGCAGTTACATCAGAAGTTGCGGCTCGTCGCTATTTTGGATGGGAATCAACTAAAAAAAATTTTCGGGAACCGCGCAATGATGGAAGAAACAAACACGCGGGACGTTATTAAACTGGAATGAATGAGATGTGTAAACAATCTTACATCTTTACTTTTCAGGGATGGTGTGCTTCGCGACGAGGATGAGCCGCTCCGGCTGGGGGGCCTCTCCACCTTGATCTTGTCGCCGTTGGTGCTGCCGTTCTCCCGTATCTCGCCGGGGTTTCCCAGGGAAACGTGCTCGCCATTTGTGTGAGGAGACGAAGCTTCCTACAGAAATACGAAAACATAAAAATCGGGACTATAAAGGAAAAAGTCGATTAACGGGTGATATAAAAAGGAATGAAAATGAAAATTACTGCTGCTCACCTCATTGGCTACGTCAACAACCAGATCTTGATCGCTTTTTTCACCATCGCTTTCCTGAAAATAAAAACAAAATTAATCAAGCAATCCTTGAATTAAACAAAATATTGTTTACACTGCTACGTCAGTTGTTTTTTGTAATGTTAGAAACGTTATAAGGCATTTTTATCAAGATTATGTAACATGCCCGGAAAATAACGTTAAAATAAACACTAAACACTTTTGATGATTTGTTGCAAACAGAAGTAAATTTGTGCCTGGTTCTAAAATAACTGTCATTGCTAATGCGTTGTCACATTATTTTGGTACCATTTATGAATCATCCTTGATTTCATTCTAATATTGAAATATTTGAGGAATCCCGTCTTTAACGATTGATTTTATTAGCAATCTTCAAATTGAAAAACAAATAAATAAACTGATATTTAATAAAAGATCCGGGCCAGATGGGTCACCTGAAATTTGTATCAAGTCTTTTAAATAATCTGTTGTACATCTTCTCTATCAGATTTAAAAAATATATACTTTATTAGCGGCTAATTCAAATTGATATCAATTTTTTTCTAAAATCCTATCAAATGAAATCAATGCAAGATTTATGAAAGTTAGTAATTAAAATTTATCGAAAATAAAAGTGAAAAATGATCGTCCAAATATAATTAATATAATTCCCGGTATTTGATATTAATTAATGTAATCTTTCAAATAAATATCTTGTATTCTAGCGTTGTAATAAATTTAAAATTAGATAAAATTCATATCGAGCAATGTGACAACGGCGCGGCGGTTTATTATGACGAGGTACTAAGGTCTCCAGCAACCACCAATACGCAATTCAGTTGGTATCTGGAATTGGACCGTGTCGGAGTGTTTTTTGCACACCACTATTTCCTTTTTCGAGGTATTTTTAAGGGAGTGCGCGAAAATTGGATTCTAAGGTGTCGTGCGTGCATCGAAGATGGTGGTGGACATTCTGAGCATATATTGTAGTTTGTTTTGTACTTGTGCATTTAAAAATTACTGAATTTTGCTTTTTGGTAGGTACCTAAATTATTTTTAATACGTATAATCGAACATATTTTACCATACATATTCATATTTTTAATACATCATTACGTTACGCAAAAAGTCAAGCTTACCTTGTATTTAATAATTGTTGATCTAGATAATTGTTCTTGAAAGCACAGTACGTAAAATTACTTGGATTACTTATATTTTTAATGTTTAGTTAGGCCACTATTTTTTAATGTACCTTCTTTTACTTGGCACCCTGTAAGTGTAATATTTGTTAGGTTAGGTTGCTATGCATATAAATAAACTTGAAATTGTAGTACCTAACCTGTTTTAAGATTTGAATTTTCGCGCAAATTTAAGTAATAAGTTCTTAAGAGAAGAAGATATGTCAGGGTTAAATGTTTTGTGTCCTTAGTTTCAGTTTCAGTGGTCAGAGAGATGAGAGAATGTGAGGTTAAGAAAAACACATGTTGCAAGAAACGCCCTTGTATTTACCTTTTGTAAAAATAAAGTAATTTTAGCAAAATATTTTGTGTGTAGCTACTGGAGCGACCTTCTCGATATATTTGCACGAAATAAACATACTTCCATTAATTTTTCACATCCTGTATCTCGAAACCGAAATATTTCCGGACACACGTTTTTATAAACTAAGTTTGGCCAAGGATTTCAATTACATCCCGTATAATTCCAGTCATGGAAACTATTTTGTTACGAATTTTGTGTTGTATTTTATAGAACGTAAAAATAACATGATAAACGTACAATATACATATTTCATATTTGAAATAAAGTAACAAAGCCGCCGCCAAAGCGTTTTTAATATATAAACGCACCACATTAAAATAAATCATAAAAAGATACCCGAGTTAATTTAATATTATTTTGACTAATAATAAATTTCATCTGCAAAAGCAATACACACAAAACGTATCGACGTCGCATTATCCAGTTCTACAAATACATGCAAAAATCATAATCGAAAACCAGCACTCTGTGCCAGGTCGAAAAAAGGCGCCACATAATAAAATAAAATCATAATTCTGTGAATGTGTTATTTAGTTTATATTTAATAATAATAATAATTACGCTGCGAATCATAGACTGAATATGTTTTGATTAAAACCGTTAACATAACATTACAATTATAAAATGAATGTCGTTTCCTCTGACAAGCTATGACTTTGTTGCTGAAATAGTCAAAGTTTGCAAATGCCAAATAGAAGGATCCCTTTTCATTATATATTGTCGGAAAGGTAAGGGGGAGGTTGACTAAACGATGTGCCTTTCCGGATCGGCAATTCCTATGCTCAGCCAGGCGTCGCCAGCGTCCAGTTTAAAATAGTGAGGTGAGATGGACCCGTGCGATAGTCGTTTAATTCACGAGAGTGGCCCGTCACGGTTGACGAAGTCCACTTCCCTCCTCCCGCATCTTTTTACTTCTCTGTATCCGTCATTATTAAACAACCGCAGCTTCCCGGACGCGTAATCTCATTCTTTAAGTGACTGAATATATTTTGAATTGAATTTACTATACAGGTTCAGAAAGTCCCCATGGTTGATCGGTCGTTACGTGAGAGCGAGAAAGTAAGTCATAGAAATCCGTGCGATAGAGAAGGATGGCTATAATGAAGGCGTCTAATAGTCACCGCCCATTTCGCCCTTCCACAAATAAGATCCACTTCCACTTGTAATTCAGCGACCGGTGGCCATCTTTGTTTTCGTCGTTTGCCTTTTCTGTAATAGATGTCACTATGGTATTAACATATCGGAATACCGAAGTCGAAATTGTATAAATAGTGACATCTATTAAAGAAATGCCAAACGACGAAAACAAAGATGACCACCGGTCGCTGAATTACAAGTGGAAGTGGATCTTATTTGTGGAAGGGCGAAAGGCGCCTTCATTATAGCCATCCTTCTCTATCGCACGGATTCCTATGACTTACTTTATCGCTCTCACGTAACGGCCGATGAACCATGGGGACTTTCCGAGCCTGTATATTATTTCAATTTTGGATTCTACGTGTCATTTTAGGTGGACTTTTATGAAGTTTCCCTATTCCTAAAATTAATCGTTTTCGAGATATTTAATTTTCTTCAAAAAAATGGAGAGAAACAGTGACTAGCTGCAAACCATGTATATTTTATAGAAAGAAAGATGAAGCAACGATATTTATAGGGGTGATAGCTAGACCCTTAAGCTTAAGAAAATGGCGTTTTACATATTAATTTTATTTATTAACTAACAAAATTATTAGTTTAAGCGAGCCTGAGTCTGACCACTGGTAGTGACGTCACTAATTGATGACGCGTTAGACGTGAGGCTTTACATTACACACCGCAATGGCTACACAATAACAATACGCATACGGGTTCTCGTTTTCGGTGGTGTTCTTGTTAAGCAGACGCTGCCTATGATGTTCGATTGCTATTTAAAGAGGTTTCGACTGATTTACTGTTCGGGTTTTTCATCAACATTAAAATCGCCGAACCTAAACGTCGCCCGCGATCAATTTCTATTTTTTCCCCATCTCGATGACTGTTTATAAACGAGATTTTATGATGATTTTTATGTATCTCAGATGTTTGGTCAAATAGATTTAATCAACCGTGAAAATATGTAGCCGCTACTACTATGGTTAACTATTACTTTTTGCACCGTATGACGTCAATTAAGGGTATGTGCACATTATACAATGGAGATTGGATGGTAACCGTTTTTTATGTAAAAATCTAAAAACACCTGCGGTTGTTGTTTTAAAACAAACTATAGAAAGTTAAACAGAAGTAAAGAAGTGCGCTATTACGTTTTTTACATTAAATGAATTATATTTTAAGTAACAAAAGGTGTATACACAATATTTGACATACGTTTACGCGTTGGTAATGAGAATCGAGAGGACATTTGGATAGAAAACAAAATCTCACCATAAAAACAGCCGTCGAAAATAATTCGTCCCTTTTATTGTAACGAATATTGATTGACATGATTTTTAACGGCTGGATTACCCTCAACATACATCTAGCAAACATAGGCGCGCGCGAAAAGGGCAACGCAGATTAGATATAATTAAAAATAGAGATACATTCAAATTAAATAGTTCATGGTAAATGTACCAGACAAAAATATGTTTTATTTGCCTCTTACCAAATTGTCTATGGTACCTAAGCTGCCTAATTAAATTGAGCTGAAAATTTACAATAAATTACCATTTTATAAATAGATCAGGAGGGATCTGTCGAAATATCACACTTCTTGGATGTAAGAGGGAGCAAGCTAATTTTTGCTGGAATACCCTCAGTACCATTCTCACAATAAAAGTGTAGATTCCTAGATCTGGGCGAGGTCCAGAACATTTTCAAAATTGCAAAAATTTTTAAAAAATTTTAAAAAAATACCCATTTTATCCGAGTTTTTTACTTATACCTTGGAACCTATGCATTTTAAAAGAATATTGAAGAGGAAAAAAGTTTTAGAATTGAATTTTGCACAATATACTGTAAGTTAAAAATGTTTAAATATATTACCGATGTTGTAAAATGGCAATATTTGATGAAAAAAGGCAAGATAATCAAGTTCTTTGGATAATTTTGAAATAATTTTTTAATTACTCCGAAGGCATTCTAATTTTGGTAAAAAAAATTTAGTGTATAATAAAACAACACACCAAATTGTGATTGCGTCTGACTTCGTTGGCAGCGATTTGTATTCTATGCCACAACTCTTCGCACAAGCCAATAGATTCTTTGTAAACTATATCTTTCATTCGAGACCAAATAGAAAAATTAAGAGGATTGAAGTCCGGACTTCTGGATGGCCAAGCAAAAATGCTAAGATGGCCAATCCAGCGATTTGAAAAAACTGCATCTAAATATGCACGCACTGGCCAAGAAAAATGCGGTGGAGCTCCGTCGTGCATGAACCACATGTCTCTTCTTAAATAAAGTGGAACTTCTTCAAGCCGTAGAAGTTCCACTTTATTTAAGAAGAGACATGTGGTTCATGCACGA